CTGCTGGGAAAAAGCTAGGCTATTTGTTTAGGGCTCAGAACTATTGTTCTCCACATGACCTCCTCACTCTGGACAAGGCCCAGATAAGACTTAGCCTCGAGTACTGCTCACATGTTTGGGGTATCGAGATTGTGGAACAATCTACACGGGGAGGCTTTGCTCAGTTCTACTAACATTAGGCAGTTCAAAAATCGAATTAACAAAGTTTCTATAAACTCCTCATAGCAGCCGCACTTGAAACTGATGTAAGGTATCCTAGGAATTGCTATAGCATCGCGCGGTTGCTACAAGAATGGGATTTTTGTAAGGGTTTGCCCTCAAATATCCGGCCGCACGTACAAGTATCACCACGGTCTTGCTTGTGCAAACAGGTTTGTACCGGGAACATGTAGCGTGTGGACGGTAAAACGGTAGTTCACGCAAACAAAAAAGTGCGACTTGTGTGAACGTCTCTCTGCTGAAAGTTTTACTTGTGCAAACCTGTTTATGCAGTTAAACTTGTACGTGTGGACGGCGTGAAGGTAAAATGGCAGACTTTCGCACTTGTTCTAAACAATTTAGTTCATTAATTAGATTGACATGCGAATGTATATTTCGTCCTAGAAGCTACTTTTTGCTCCACTTTGGACTATATTTCTTTTTCTTCAGTAAATGTCATTATAAAAATGCACTCAAAACTAATAATTCATCATTTGGCACCATTGTTCCAAAATAATTGACCAGTACCGATCTCTCCGACGATTTTAACAACAATGAGGTTTCTGCAAACTTATTTCGAGTGGCCACCTTGGAGTGTTCCGTCTATATCGCGCAAACTAGACCGTACAAATAAGTCGCTGTCGTGTGACCAGGCCTTAACAAAGTGCAAGATCCGCGAGATTTCCCTTTAGGAAGATTGCACCCGCAGATAATTAGAAAACAATCAGCAAAGAAGAAAAGAATTTATCACATATACAGTAATGGACAAAAGTATAATAATAATACTATAATACACCAGCCGGTATACATAATTCGTTATAGCATAATACTCACTTATACAGAAATAGATTCATTAGACTCCCTTCAATAAAAAATTAATTGAAAAAAACTGGAACTATGAAGGACAAAAATATATAGATAGACAAAGGAAAACAAAAAAGAAGCAAAGTTCATTGAATTATAGAAAACCAACCATGTTTGTGTTAATATTTTGTAGCATAACCACCATTATCAATCACCGCCTGGCATCGTCTCGGCATAGATTGTAGAAGTTTCTTGATTTGATATAAAATTCATCAATCTGTCTCCACTTTTGGTCTAAAGCGGCAAAAAGTTCATCCTTGTTTGAATAATTTTTATCTCGTATTTGCTTATCCAAGTATTCCCACAGATTTTCAATGGGGTTTATATCGAGAGACTGTAAAAGCCATTTGAGAACTGGTATTTTTTCATCCAGAAAGAATTTCTTTGCGAGATTTGAAATGTGCTTCGGGTCATTATCTTGCTGGAAGATTGATCTTAAGGGCATATTTTCTTCCATATAGGGTAACATGGCATGCTTTAGTATGTCTGTGTACACAAACTTATCCATAATGCCATCTATTCTATGTAAAGGTCGCATCCCAAACCCCGAAAAGCACCCCCAAACCATAACAGACTCGCCTCCATGTTTGAAAGTGGGCAAAGTGTACTTGGGGTTCAATCTTTGTCCACTAGGACGTCTAACGTAATGAACAACATCTGATCCAAACATATTGAACTTGGATTCGTCACTGAAATATACCTTCTTCCGGTCACAGATTCTCCAATCAAGATGCAATCGTGCAAATTGTAATCGGTCCTTACGGTTTTTCCTCGAGATTAGCGGCTTCTTACTCGGGCGACGTGCAAATAAGTTCAAATCATTTTATCTTCTACTTATAGTTTTCGTAGAAACACTGACAATTTCTTTTGTCTCGATTTCGGCTCTTATTTGTCTTAGGGTTTTAAACGGATCTTTGGACGAAATTACTTTTATTAATCTAATTGATCTAGCATTTAGTTTTCTAGGCCGACCACTTCTCTTAGAAGCTTCCAAGATACCTTTTTGTTTATATTTGTTCAATATTGCCCAAACTGCTTTACGCTTCAGCTTAAAAGTTTTGGCAATGTCGACTTGACGTTGACCATCTTTGTATAACTCAATGATCTTAGTTTTCACATCGAAAGAAATTTCTGGACTACGCGGCATGGTCTTAAAATCACTCATCTTATTCCACAATACTTGAACACAGACTAATCCTCTTCTGTCACGAAACTGTACTAAACTAATTTTGAAAAGAATTTGTCTACATATTTTTGTCCCTCATAAAAAAGTGCTTATATTCAGACTTGTATTGTGTTCATTGCAGATAATGTAAAAACAAGGAATTTAGTTTTTCTACTAATAACGCATTTGTATATGGAGCAATGGAGTATGAATTCGTTTTCTAAAGGTATTTAGGTAAATATTCATATGTGTCTATATAATTTTGTCCATTACTGTTTGTATGTATATTGAGGATTAGCCAGTAAAAAACTACTTTGTAAAACCTATCTCAAATCTATTTCTATCTGTTTCAGTAGAATGTACATGAGCCTGCAAAATCGCTATTAACTAATGCTATTATTCTAACGACTGTTCTGCTGTCTTTGTCTGACTGCACTTTTATGTTCTATGATCATCGGTATCATCCGGTACAAAAATAGCGACATGTTCAGGAAATGTACAAAAAGTACAAACACAAACTTCTTTTTGTTTAGAAAACTGATGGTCTGGATTTTGTGCAGAACTATACCTTTTACCACAGAAAAATTACAGTTGTTCCATTGTTTTGAATGTTTTCAATGAATAAAAGTGGAGGAGTTACACCAACCAATACGGAAAATGTAAGTGCATATTATCACCATTTCCTTAGCTTGGAATATTTAAAGGTGAGGAGGTGGATAATACCATAATTTATTAAACACAGATAATGTACGGCAGTTTGCTCAATATATCTTTAAATGGTATTATGTAAATAAGTATAGTTGTAGTCACCGTTCTTGGCGGTTGCGTCATCAACGCCATTTGAAATAAGTAAACAGATCGAGTATTCGTACCATGGGAGCATCTTGAGCGCAGAGATCGTGATATGTTGTCCTTTACTTCTCATATCGTAGAAAGTATTCCTCATTTCTGACGGCATGTCTTACACCAACGGTCTTGCATTTTTTGATTTTGTGAGTTTCCCCTGGTGTTATTTTCTGGTTTTATTCGCTGAACACTGAGCAGACTAATCTTCAACGCATCTGCCACTCTCTCCTGTACGCATGAAGTGGGTAACAGACGACCGCTGTTCTCAGTCTCTTTTCTTTTTTTATACCTGCGCTGACTGACAAATTATTTAGTGTATCTCAATAACTACTGGATTATTTACGCGTGATAATAAAATAGATTTTCGAAAAAATGTAAATTAAATGAGCTTTTCAAATTTGAAATTTTCCTATTAATTACGAATATATTAAGAATGAACTTTTTTTTAACCCGTAACCACAGACGGCCAATAAATTGAACATTACCACAGACGTGGCGTCAAAATGACTCCTATAATGAAGGCCATGGAAAACATATTTGGAAAATAAAAACAAGTTTACCTCTATGTTATATCACTTAAATATATAGTGTCTGTTTTAATATCGTTTTTAATAAAAAAAAATCCTCAGTAAAAAGCAACCAGATTTTAAAGAAATGTATTTATTGCACACAATTTTCGTGAATATTTACAATAACATTTTTGGTAACTTTTTAACATAAAAAAAATGAACTTGCTAGGTAGTTTTCATACAAAACTCGTTAAAAACATGAAAAAGAATACTTATAACGATTAGAAATTAACGTGAAGGTAATATTCTGGAAACGTGCAGTAGGTTTTCCAAAGTAATTTTTTCATTTTGCACAGTCCACGCAAACCATTTGAAATGGTTTTTTTCCATAGAAATAGTTTCTTGTAGAAACGCGGTTCGATGTCTCATCTTCTTCAGTAGAAAGTCTTTCGCAATCTCTGTCCATTCTTGTTCCGAACGCTCTCATTATTACTGTAAATGAATTCGGCATCTGAATCAATACCACTGCCGTTTTCATTTTCCTCATCCACCTCAGCAGGCCATTTCAGCAAAGTTTCTTCGTAGTCCGAATCGCCATATCTAACTATTTTTGAGGGACCAGCTTTGCTATCAAAATCCATCCTAAAAACCTAAACTAAGCCGAGCATGTTCATGAAATACAGACATAAGAATATAACATTATCACAGACCTGTAGTCCTTTTGACTCCGTCCGAAATTCAAGTCGTAATGAAATGTAAATAACGTACACAATCAACGCAATTATCTCAGTGCTAGTTCAATACTACTCGATGAAAAGGTACCTCTAGGCATGGACAGATAGACTGAGGTGAAAACGGGAAATCCCCCTCCACATACTAGCAAGGAGTCAAATTGACTCCACGTCTGTGGCTACGGGTTAACTCAGCGGCCATTTTCAAATATGGTGAATCATGGTCACGATCATACCACGATTAAAAAGTCCGTTTTTTCACCTTTAGTGGTAAATAACAAATTAAGGTAGACAGTCCGAATCAACTGAAATCTCTCAAAACTTGTTCACGCTACGTGGAGATCAGTACACGAATCGTTTTCCATCCTATCACTTCAATTTTCCATCAGAAGTTTTTATTTTCCCACATTTGGTTCATGAGTAAAATTAAAAATGTCAGAATTAGATGTACGTAGCTCGTATACTATTGTATACATGTAAATTATCATAAATTGTTTTTCCAGCCTATCACTTCGATTTTCTAACAATTTTTTTTAACGGCTTATTTAACATCTGAACGAACCCAGAAAATAGATACGTTCGGCAGGTGACTTGCATCTGTGACGCATATGTCTGTTGTGTGAGCTGTATCTTCCAAGTTTGTGTTCTGTGACTTTCGAAATGTCAATGACAGCACACCGGTTAAATGTCAAAATCTAACCTCAAATACAAAACGTTTTGAAATTTTTTATATCATCGTACCAACACCGTGCAAAAATCCTAAAACAATGATGTTGAGAAATATAAATTGTTTGGCGAAGATGCCATACCGTACTAGGCATATCCACTTAGTAAGCTGAAAATTTCTAATTGCATATGAATTACGTAAACACATTATTTTTTCCAGACAAGACATAAAATGGCATTGAGTGCTGCACTAGACAATTTGATTCGATCGATAGAAGCCTTCAGTAAGGAGCTAGATGAAAATACCCACACAATAGCCTTAACTCGAAGAGGACGACCCAAAGTTGACTTACATTTTCGAAGAATTGTCACACAGTTGCAATGCTCTAATATAGTTTCAGCAGCATCGAAAAGAACTGCAATTAACAACTTGCAACTCGCACCAGCTTCAAGAAGCATCAGTACAAACACTAGTTCATTAAGTGGTGTAACAAATACTAAAGAAGAGGCAAATGTGCAAAATGATTCAGTCAGTAACTCTGAAGAAATAACAGTAAGATACTTTTTTTCCTGTGTGATCGGTAAATGTATAGAGGGTGTAAACATTATGATAGTCATTATTTAAATGTGTGATAGAGGGGGTTAAAAGAAGCAAAAGTTTCATATAACATGGGGTCAAAATGGCATTTTTTTAGAGAAAAGCAACTTTAAAGTAAAATAAAATGTTTCAATGCCGCAATGCCAGGCGCAAATTACGACGGAACGCAGTGTAAATAAAGATGGAGGTTGTTATTTTTGGCTCTTAGGTATTATTTCATTATTTGATAATGTACTCATAAAATGCAAACAATTAAAAAAAATGGGTACCTACCACTAACTGTCTCAGTGCTTCACCTGGTGTGTGAAAGTTTTTTGAACATATGAAAAAAATCCACTTATAGTTAGGGAACACAATTTTGATACATACATTATTTTTCTTTTTAAAACCCACACTGTACTTTTTTGTATCTAAAGGAGTTCAAAATGTCGTCCTCCACTTTTCACACAAGCTTCATTACGACGAACCCAGTTTCTTCTTACTCTAGGTCCTCGAAGTTGTCCATTTATTATTTCAGCTGGATTAAATTTTTTTTTGTGAAGTTGTGCTTCAGTTGTTATTGGACCAACCCCATAAACCATCCCTTTAAGTTCTCCCCAATACCAGAAATCCATTGTATTGAGGCTAGGAGATCTTGCTGGCGATTTTCGAGAATCAGGAGCATTTTGACCGATCCACTGATTTGGATAATGTTCATTCAAATACTAGATGCCGCCTCTAAAAATGTGTGGTAGTGCCCTGTCATGAAGAAACCATAAATTCCGTCTCCGTTGTAATGGCATGTTGTCTAAGGTCTGTTCCAAAAGTTCTGGTAGGTTATTGGCTAGAAAGCTAAGGTATCCTCCTCCTGACAACTTTGGGGGTAACTCGAAAGGGCCAATTACCTGATCGTCAAGAATACCCGTCCAAATATTTAATTTAAAACATTGTTGGAAATGACCTTCACGAATGGTCTGACGATTTTCTTGGGCCCACGTGTGAGTATTATGGAAATTTAATGTCTCGCGTAAAAGTACATTCGTCCGTCGCTAGAATCTTTTTAAAAAAATCCGGATTTTCAATGTTTTTGTGCAGAAACCAATGTCAGAATGTTAGTCTGCGAGGATAGTCTTCTGGTAACAAGGCCTGTGCTCGTTGTACATGGTAGGGATAAAGCAAATTTTCCCGTAGGATCCTATGGACTATGGTATGAGATAGTCCTACGTGGCGGCCTAATTCCCGAGTGCTGATATCTGCATTGATTTCCACGATATTTGAAATTTGTTCCTCCTGCTCTACAGTAACCTGTCTTTCACGAGTGCAAATATTAGTGGGCTGAACACTTCCTGTATCTCGAAGTCTTTGGTACACTTGCACTTGCAAATGTCCTTCTGTCTGGGTGTACCCATTGGCGAAATCTGTCGCGATACATTTGAGCTGCAAGATTTGAATTCTGAAGAGCTTCACCGTAAACTAACAACATGTCGGCGAACTCTTGATTCGAGAACATTGTAAATAACCACGACGACGTACGCGAACAAAAACAAAACGATAACTAACCACTGTTACCGTTTGCGATCGATTGCCGGTTCGAGAAGAGTGATGAAATACCCGAAGCACTGTTGTCATGTGTGTTTTAAATATTTAATTTAATGAAACTTACTACCTACAAATTTTGGCTCAACTTAGAAAAACTTTATGCCATTTATTTGTTAATTACCCAATTTAAAAACGTTTTAGATTAGATTATAAAAATTAGTAAGATTGTGGTGATTGCGGTCGATATAAAGCCCTTAAAGTTGTAAACTATAAAGCCATTTAGACAAAAATCTTTTTCTATTTCAATAATGACTACGATAACGTTTGATGCACAAAGTGGTGCCTACATATATATACAATCACGTCTATGGTAGAATATACCTGTATTATAAAAATGGGACATATTTTTACAGTACTGACTTTATGTGATAGCTTGTTCATATAGCTTGTTTTGGGTTTACAAGATTTTAAAAATATACTTGGTACTTTTTTCATTAATTTTGTGCATTGCAGAATTCAAGTAATTTGTAATCACTACCTGAAAAATGCTCTGTGCTTTGAATAACAGTCCAACATGCCATCAAATTTTTGGAACATAAAAGGTAGACATTTTTTAGTTTTTTGAAACATCTGTATACATTTTGGAATAAAATCAACTATAAACACTGTACAGTCAATTTTTTATGCAACTGATCATAGTTGGCATAATTAAGGGGAGACTAAGTGATGGATGCTAGAAGCATTACAGTTTTAACATAGAGAACAGATTGCATTTTTTGTTACTTACAGGCAAGCATTGACAATGTACTTTTAAGGAGGTTGCTATGCATATAATGCCTGGATAATGAATACCATGATCCAGTGTCAAATTTAAGGCAACCATAATATAAAGTCCTGAATCATTATATCACGGTGTTATGTTTTAATCAAAATGTTTAAAACAAATGTTTTAAACCGATTGGTTTTAAAATGTTTAAAACACTGTTTTTTTTGTCGTTTGTGATTTATTCAAGGTTTTTTATATTTTTTTAAGTACGATTAAAATTGATTTTATTTTGCAAAATAAAACTAAAAGCGCCATAGGGTTAAAACACATAGGTACTAAAAATTAACAGGGTTGAAAAAAACGGTATTTTTTAAACAAAAATCATGTTTTTTTAAACTGTTTTTATGGTTGAAACATTCAATTTTAGCTGAAAAAAAACATGTTTAAAACACTGTTAATATATGTTTAAAACAGTAAAAAAGATGTAAGAAACTATTCCTTATAATTTAGCGACGTTAATCAAGTTCCTTGAAAGTGTTATTACTATTTTTGATCCAGCTTTATCAGAGCACATCTCTAATTTAAAAGCTGACGTCGGGAAACTACCGTGCGGACGTCGGGGAAGTATCGTTTGCCTTTGGGTAATTTTTCGCGTTGCCATCTCCAGCAGTCAAATGTGCGAAGTTGTAGCGTGGTGGTGTGTTTTGTTTTTTGTGCATTAAAGATCGGCAAAAAAAAGCAGTGTCAGAGAGAAAAAAGGATCCCGTTTGGAAATATTATAAGGGAACTGATGTCAAAGCTGGCTCGAAAATAAATAAAATAGAAAAATGTTTAACCTGCAATATGGATATAGTGCCACTGGTGGCTAGAATGTGCAACAAATTTCTTTTTACTGTTTGAAGCATGTATTAACAGTGTTTTAAACGTATTTTTTTCAGCTAAATTTGAATGTTTTAAACATGAAGAAAAAACAGTTTTAAACAAAAAAACCTTTTTTTTTCAATCCTGCATTATATACATTTGAAATAGTCTGAGATCATCACTATTAGGTGTCGGAATGGATGGTTGTATAGATATTCAGGGTGTTTCAATATTACTAGGGTAGAAAGTACAACAAAAGTTACATAAAAAGTTTTCATAAATATTGGTCCAAAGATGCTCCCCTACTAAGGTAACAGGGTGATGAACTGTAATTTAAGAAACTGAAAAAAATTATGCCTATGGAGAGGGTAAATCTAAGATTTTAGATGTCCAGTGAGCACATCATAAGTAATAAACACAGAGTTTCCTGGAACAAACTAAACTAGGGACATGGGGTACCTGGACCCTTAGTAGGAAATATTTTCCACGCCACTGGCCTTTTCGGAGAAAAGAAGAGCATTTTATAAATTACCATTCAGATTTCCATGAATTTTGTCTTTTAATGATTTTTTGTCAGATCACGTCTTTTGGAGATATTTAGGTTAGTGACATAGAAAATATTTACCGTTAGGGGTCCAGCAACTGCAGTTTCTTCGACTCTGGCATGGGCTGTTTGTGTTTATTGCTGATGAAGTTATTATTTTTTGATGTACTTTCTACCCTAGAAATATTGGCATGTCTTTCTGAAACACCTTTCAAAATGACAGTGAATGCTGGCATTTAGACTAATGTCACTTTGACAGTATTTACCATCAGTATTTACTGATGGTAGGTGTATCAGAAAATCGCATGTGATGATATCATGTAGTTGCTGTTTGAAAGAATCTTGTATAAGATCTAGTGAAATTAAACTTAAGAGTTCTTACTGTACTTTATTAACTTACAGCCCAAAGAAATATATTACAATGAAACAGATATAACAGATGATATTGTAAAATTGTATGCACATAAAACTTTTCCGAAAGTTGTTCTCCATAATATGTATGACTTGGTATCAAATGAGTTTAAAAGAAGAAACTACAAAGTCACTCCTACCTATAGAAGTATAAAGTCCAAAAACTCATCGGCATGGTTATGTTGCTATCACATCTACTGGCCAGTGGAGACAAAATTTGTTGCAAAAGACACCACAAAGGCCAAGGCATCAAATAAGGCTGCTTTAGCTGCTTTGGCATGGTTGAAAAAGAACAACAAAATCAGCAGTCAGGGAAGTCCGATGATATATGACGAAGAAGAAGTGAAAGTTGCAACAAAGAAAGTTTTACCAAAATTGACATTAGATGATGAGACAATTGGAGATATGCAAAAGATTGTTAATATCCATCAGAGTAAGATGATAGAGCATATAATGGATGGTCGTGAGATGGGTGAGAATGATGTGAAAGTAGAAGAGGGAGAAGACGGGCCATTGGCGGAGGCTGGGGAAGTTAGTTTTAGGGGTGTTAAGGAAATGAGATATCTAGGATTGGATCAATATAAAACGAAAGAGAAGGTTAAGCTTCCAATAGCAAAATACAAGTGAGTATTATTAGACCTGACATCATGTTTATTATTAGTGACCTATAGACGAGCAGATAATCTGAACAAATCACATAGAGAGATTTAATTCGTCATATTAAGATTGAATTAAGCAATTTCTTAGCCACTGTTCTCACCGAGAACAAGTGGCAACCACAACTCTATTTGGCACATGTATTTGGATACAAGCATTCTTTCCAAAGCAACAGAAATCCTACCAACTTAACAACGGTTGCTGGCAAGGGCCTACCCAGGTTGAAACAGAAAGGGGAGCAGCTACAAAAATTTTTGGTGGAAGTTCCACAAATTATATCTGCTTTATACTATGCTTGATATGTTTCTTTTTGTTTGGACTTCAATGTCTTATCCATTGATTCAAAGTCTTCCATGATGGGTTAAGAATTCATATAGATATAGAAATCGATTAGGACTACTTCTTTGAAATATTTGCATTTGCGTGAGATCCTTTTTAAGTGATAATTTAGTCCTTTGCAATACTTTGAAGCAATACGTGAGATATGTCACAAAGTTTTGCTATACCGCAAATTTTATATACCCAGGTCTAAAATTCGTCATTTCTGAGCTATATGATTTTTGCAAATTTTTGGCCGTACATCTCTCTCAAAATTCATAAAAGATGCTCATTTTTTCAGTCAAGTCAATAGGCTAGGGAGGTACTGTAGCCGCGAAAGAACGATTTTCAGCTATTAGAAAAATTATTTATTTTTTGTTAGTAGATCTAGTTGCGACAGAGTAATCGTAATTTAATCATTGGTCTAATTACTAGATTTTGATTGGATTTTTGACTGGGTTTTTAAGGGCCTGTAGTACCAGTATTATGACTAAAAAATGTATACCTCCCTCAAACTTGACTTCGTCTTACCTTGTTGGGGATTCAAAAGCAACCAAAAAGTGATGCAACTAAAATAATCAGGGATGTAGGTAGAACATTCATCATCTTGATAGGTCGGAATAAGTTACATGGTTACAATGGATCCATGATCACTTTTTAAAATATATACCTTTCTGTTTTAGTACACCTTTCGTCAGGGCAGTGCATTATGTCCGCTACTATATATACTTTTCATCAATGTTTTCGTGGTAATGTGTTCAGATACAGATATAACGTTATACGAAGATAACACTGCTTACACTGTTAAGTCCTTACTATTACCGATCTATCTGCTTTAGCAACCAATAAAGCACAGGTAGTGTCATCCTATTGCATCAGTAACTGTTTTTAATTTCTCTAAAACAGCGATGGTTGCCTTACAATACAACAAAACAATACAATAGCACTCTGTTTGAATGTAACGAGAAAAGTGTGTGCCAGTACCTAGATTTGAATTATTTGGGTGTACAATTTCACGAGTACTTGAATTGGAATAAACAGCTAGATAATATCTTGAATAAGCTATCAAAGTTCTGTTATGTGATATTTCACCTACGAAATTTTGTTAACATTGGTATTGTAAAGCTGTATTACTTTTCCGTTCATTTAACACTTAGCTACTGAGAAGGCAGAAGAAAGCATTGAGGAGAACGTTTTTCAAATGTCGGCGTTAATCTTATAAAGAATTATTCAAACAATTGGGGATAATATCAGTTCACTCTTTATATACGTATAGTTGCCTAATTTATTGTAAGAAAATTTTGTAGCTCTTCATATCAATAGAAAAAAAATTAAGTGCTACGGACTGCGTCAGTCACACGGCATAGTTGTACCTCACCATAGGGCATGATTGATGTCCAAAGGTCCCACAGTTGCGGCAGTACGGCTCTATAACCACTTACGAAATCCCATAAAGGGTATAATCAACTTACATCTATTTAAAGGCAAAGGTTAAGATCATTATGTTAACAATCCCTGCTATAGCGTTTCGGATTAATTTAACAGTGTTTTTGAATAACCTATGTGATTTATTCATTTACCACTGATGCTTATAATTTGTATTTTGTCGGGCACGATTTTCTATTAAACGTGTATTTTCGTTGTTTGTAAAATTTTATGTATTGTTTGTTTTTTATACTGATTTTTTATCTCATACATGACAAGAGACTATTAGCGAAGCAGCTAAATATCTTCCTTGGTGACAATTCCGATATTATCATCGTAGAGTCGTATGGAAGTAAATGTGTTTATTTATTTGTTCAATAGGGAAGACTTCATTGATCTTTTAAAGTCAAATCAGGTAATAATAGTCAAAGGAGAACCCGGTTGTGGCAAAAGTACAAGAGTACCACAGTATGTTCTGGAAGCATGGGCAACAGATGAAGGGCTTTCTGGCAACCCAGGAAGAATAGCTGTTACTCAACCAAGGAGAATAGCCGCAATTTCATTGGCTGAGAGGGTGGCTAGCGAACGAGACGAACGGGTAAGTTTCTCTTAGATCAAGTAAGTAACAACAAATAATACTTTATTTACACTAAATTGATCATTTTTGTTTCGATCAATTGAATCTGCCCGGTTGTACTGCCTGTCTCAAATCTACCGCTTAGGAAAGGTGATCCGCATGTAATTTCGACCTCAAATTAAGTTTCTGATGCGCAGCTCCGATTTGGAAAAAACTTAACCAAAAAGAAGTAACACCTGACCACAGTGTATCCATACTAACTTATAATAAAAATCTGTTGGTTGACTTGGTTATATGTCTTACTATTTCCCTCGCTTTAATTTCTACCAATCACAATTTTAAATTACAAATGGTTTCTAGATGGAAAAATTGTATGACAGCACCTGTCAGCAGTTTTTTCCAGCGGCAAAACTTGACAGCTGTTGTCACCAAAAGTCACAATATTTTTGATAACAAGTAGAACAACAGAAAATGACGCTAACGATTTTTCTGATTTTATTGTCAATAAATTTTGTAATCTTGTTTTTAAACAGTGCTAGTCAGCTTATGTAGTGAAAATGAGTCGCTTTGGAAGTGATTCTTTGACTAATAGTGATCTGGCGATTGAGAAAAGTGTACAGAACAATACCGCTAAAACCCATAGTCAACATGGAAACAATTTATAGAATTCTGCAATGCAAAGAAATACGATCTTTTGGAAACTACAACTTTAGAGCAAATCCTAATCCTGAAAGATTGGGCGTGGAATATGAAGAAATAAAACGGTGAAAATACAAAGAACTAGTTGTGAAGACAATGTTGAATACCGTTGCAAAAAATGCAAGAGATGTATTTTATGAACAATCTCACGAAATAGTCTTGTCAAATATCATTCGGGCGTCTAATTTGTTTCCTGTGAAAAAGTAATATTTTTTTTAACAAAAAATATTCGTCTACCACTCTTTTTTGACACCAGCACTAATGCTTCTTGTTAAAATATTGTTTAGCAACGTGTTTTTTCTGTTTTTTTTTTCGGAAAAATTAGATGTCCTTATGATATTACTCATGGAAATCTATCGCAATTTATGACAGGTTTCGTTTCATAATGTATTTCAATAAGGAATCCTAATGGTAGTTTATCTGGTGCAACAGAAAATATCGAATTTTTGGAACAGGTGTACTTAAAGTCGACCTTAGCAAGGCGGTGCAAGTGGGCATTAGATAGATCGGGGGCGCTGATGCGAATATGCTCGTCAAAAAATAGTGAATTAAAAAAATACACACCTGATGATTTACCCAGGAAGCGAGTCTACGTTCCGATCGCAAATGCACCAAGAATTTCAGTGGGTCTTTGCAAATTGCGTCACAACAGTTAAGCATGTTTCGTGAAGATAACTTGCAATTGCCAGTCAGGTCCCCTTGGATGGAATTATTCCAAGTAGAAGACCTGAATGGTATTTCTCCAAATAGCTGATCGACGTCCTCGGAAGGTCTGAGTTGCTGAGAGAAATATAAATAGGGGTGAGCCGCAATAGACCAGCGAGTCACAGTGGAGAGAGTCGTGTGACCCGCTTACAATAACCCAACCTAAGCCACAAACTATTAGCTACACTAACCTAACCTCCCGTTATGACAAGCGATTGTCATTTGCAATAAACAATAAAGATTTTTTCGCGAGATTTTGTAGTGAATGGAGCGGGGGACAGATATAATTTCCCCCTCTCCTCAAAGTTTTGACCGTTTCAAGGTACACCGGGAGGGGTTAGGTGGTGCATTTTGCGCAAAGAGCACTGACAGTTCATCTGACGGATAGCCTGTTTGAGTTTGTTAAATTTGTGCTTGGCCCTTTTGTTTTGAGTTCGTTCAAAATGATTGAGTATTTACTATTTCTTTTTGGATTCGACAGGTGTGGTCGTGAAACTTTTGCATCCGGTCTCTACAACATTACAATCCTTATTTCAAAGTTGATACTCCTCGGGGAGAAAAATAGTTGAAATCTCCAGAATAGTAATAAGCTGGTGCAGAAAAAGTTAACTAAGGGAAATGTTTCAGTTAAGCCTGTGGATGGTATTTCAGGTTTATATGTAAACCCAGTATACTTAGATAGATTCTTGAATCTGAAATAAAAGGACCAATTGTTTTTTATGCAATGTATAATCAATAGAATCTGCAGTTTAATATGACATATGCGGTTCCTATATCTATTAAGACCTCATAGTTTTCTCCCTCGTCATTTAAAATCAGGTGGACCTGCTTCTCCATTTTCTTGATTTATGATTGAGATATCTGTTTTTTTTAAATGTTGTTGACATAAGACCTGTAACCCTCTAGTACATCACCTACGTTAGGCGGTTAATCATACCACCTGATTTTTTGACATTTGACTGACGTTACATCCGTCTTCCCCGATTTCCGTTCTTCGCGAAAATTTGATTATCTGTTTCCGGTACTGCACTGTGCTACACAATGGTCGCGAAGGAATCTTTAATAAAGTACCTAGGAGTAAAATTTAAATAGAAATATGGGTCGCTTGGTGCGTTCAGATGCCTTATTGTCAAAAACGTTCGACTCGATTAAACTCTTTATTTCTTTTTTCATGTGAATAGTAACATTGTAAATTTTATTAGTTACAATTTTTTTTTCAGGTTGGCAGTATAGTAGGTTACCAAGTTCGCTTAAACTCAAAATTCGAACCTACCACAGGTCGCATCCTCTACTGCACAACTGGCATTCTCCTACGTCACTTTCAATCCGACCCCAATCTAACAAATTTCACGCACGTCATTTTAGACGAGGCCCATGAGCGAGACGTCAACACTGATTTGTTGATGAATCTCCTAAGGGGTGCAGTGCAGAAAAATCCTAAGTTGAAAGTTGTTGTTATGAGTGCCACTATTGATACGTCAATGTTCAGCAAATATTTTGGGGGAGCGCCTGTGATTGATATACCTGGGTTCACGTATCCTGTCAAACAGGTAAGATAGACGAAATACATAGGATGTGTGAACTAGAACTAGTTTACGTTTGAACTCTATCATTGTTTGGCCAAATGAAACCACGTATATAGGTGTAAATTAATTGTTACTGACGTTGTAATCAGCACTGTACAAATGTGCCTGGTGGCTTTTGTTAGCGGCTTCTAGTTGTATTTCCTTTTCCATCCTTGCTTCCCTTCAGGTTACACCATATCCAGGTGTGATGGGCATATGTTTTCACTTTGGTATTTTCGATGCACATCCATTTGGGAATGAGGCATCCGATAAGCGGAAACGTACGTCGCTCGGGTGACCAAACCTTCCATTTCTGCTCCTGCTCCTTTACTGCTGACATCCTCACGATTGAACTTTGTTTTTATCTAAGTTTCCGCAAGACTCTTTTGTCTTTTTTGTACAAATTAATGACAGTGAGATTGTATTTCACATTTATGTCTTCCAGCTGACAGTTCATTTGTTTTTATTTGCCTACCTCAGAAGGAGGGTTATGTTTTTCGCGCGAGCGTAAACCCTATATCACTAGTAGGAAAGAAAAAAAAAAACAAGTGAACCGTCACCTGGAAGAAATGTATTGTCATTGTCAATAATTCTGCGTTGAAAAAGAGCAACCCTGGTGGCCGAAATGTCAGCATAAAGTAGTTTAGATATACAGTAATGGACAAAAGTATATAGACAAATATGAATATTCACCTAAATACCTTTAGAAAACGAATTCATACTTCACTGCTCCATAAACAAATGCGTTATTAGTAGAAAAACTAAATTCCTTGTTTTTACATTATCTGCATTGAACACAATGCAAGTCTGAATATAAGCACTTTTTTATGAGGGACAAAAATATGTAGACAAATTCTTTTCAAAATTAGTTTAGTACAGTTTCGTGACAGAAGAGGATTAGTTTGTGTTCATCAAGTATTGTGGAATAAGATGAGTGATTTTAAGACCATGCCGCGTAGTCCAGAAATTTCTTTCGATGTGAAAACTAAGATCATTGAGTTATACAAAGATGGTCAACGTCAAGTCGACATTGTCAAAAATTTTAAGCTGAAGCGTAAAGCAGTTTGGGCAATATTGAACAAATATAAACAAAAAGGTATCTTGGAAGCCTGTAAGAGAAGTGGTCGGTCTAGAAAACTAAATGCTAGATCAGTTAGATTAATAAAAGTAATTTCGTCCAAAGATCCGTTTAAAACGCCAAGACAAATAAAAGCCTAAATAGAGACAAAAGGAAATGTCAGTGTTTCTACGAAAACTATATGTAGAAGATTAAATGATTTGAAGTTATTTGCACGTCGCCCGAGTAAGAAGTTGCTAATCTCGAGGAAAAACCGTAAGAACCGATTACAATTTGCTCGGTTGCATCTTGATTGGAGCATCTGTGACTGAAAGAGGGTATGTTTCAGTGACGAATCCAAGTTCAATATGTTTGGATCAGATGGTGTTCATTACGTTAGACGTCCTAGTGGACAAAGATTGAATCCCAAGTACACTTTGCCCACTGTCAAACGTGGAGGCGGGTCTGTTATGGTTTGGGGGTGCTTTTCGGGGTTTGGGATGGGACCTTTACATAGAATAGATGGCATTATGGATAAGTTTTTATACACAGACATACTAAAGCATGTCATGTTACCCTATATGGAAGACAATATGCCCTTAAGATCAATCTTCCAGCAAGATAATGACCCGAAGCACACTTCAAATCTCGCAAAGAAATTCTTTCTGGCTGAAAAAATACCAGTTCTCAAATGGCCTTCACAGTCTCCGGATATTAACCCCACTGAAAATCTATGGGAATACTTAGATAAGCAAATACGAGATAAAAATTATTCAAACAAGGTTGGTTTTCTATAATTTAATGAACTTTGCTTCTTTTTTCTATAATTGTTTTTCTTTGTCTATATATTTTGTTCTTCATAGTTCCAGTTTTTTTTAATTGTTTATGCTATAACGAATTATGTATACAGGTTGGTGTATTAATAAAACAAGTTAAAAACGAAATACAGCACAATATTAATTTGTCTATATACTTTTGTCCATTACTGTATGACGTTTCATTTGGCCCGAAAATAATAGAGGTCTGTCAGGGCGGCATCCATATATTGTTTGACGTACCTGTTCCATGCGTTTGGAATTAGAACAAAGCAATCGTTCTGGAACGTCAAAAGTGCGCTTCTCTTCCTGTGCTCAAAACCTTTGGAATAAAAGTGTTGTTACTTGACATTTTCATGGTTCATTGTTTGTTTGCTTTATTTGTACTTCAAATTGGCAGAATATATATATTTTTTATGATATTTGGGTTAACCTGTCCCACAGAGTTTCTTATAATACAATGGTCCCAGAAAGCGTGGTTAGGAATTAGGCAGTTGTCATAGTGTCATTACATGACTCTGTAACAATTTAGGCGTTCTAAAAATAAGTTTAACAGTATTCCAGAGTAAAATTTCATCTGTCAATCTACACCCCAGTTCGGTATTACATAACCAAGTGATTTACAAGCACACCCCAGCATGCAAGCCACATAATAAGTTTCAGTTGTTACATTAGCTTTCGTGTGTGACAGGTGTCAGAAGAGAGATCTTTTCGGTGAATGTGGTGATCTAAGGGTTGCCACTATTGCTTCGCCGATGAACAACGCCACTTGTCACGATCTTTTTTTGTTCAATGATTAACATATTTCCAAGAAGAAGTCCAACTATATTTGGACGTTCACATACAATTTTTATCGTTACATCCATGTTGCCAAGTATAATTGCAATGGAGGATAATTATTCTTAAGGTTTTGTATTCACGGAATTCCTCAATGGAAATTCCATAACCTGCGGCAACAGTTTGAGACGTGGCAACACTGACACCTAAAGATTTTGTTGTACGCGCATACAGTGTGATTCAGGAAACATTAGCAGAATTTCTAGAGAACAAAAAATAACACGAGAAGTTCGTATAAACTTATAATCTCGAAAACGAAAAAAATATATACAGGATGTTACATGATCCAATGTTAATATTTAAGGGGGAGACTGTTGGTGGGTCGATTATAAGAAGAAAATTTAATCTGAATGTATGTCCTAAACTTTTGAGTTATAATATGGTAATGTTTTCAGAAATCAATAATTTATTATTAATATCTGATTTCTCTCAAAATAAAAATTGTTCTTGAAATCTCCAATAATCTCTAATCAAATTTGATCTCTTGATTTTATTCATTCTGATGCATCGTTTTTGCTTAAACAAATAAAAACCTTATCACCTTACCTACCTTAGGTTTGGATATCAGACACGTTTGTTCAATTTTGTTTTGTTCTTGTTTTGTTTTCAATTTAGCATAATATGCTCTTTGTATTGTAATTTTACATAAAAATAATCAAATATTTGTATTTAATCTCGCACAAGTTCTTAGAGTGACTAAAATGGTCAATTGCTAAAAATGTTGAGCATTCTTGGTTTATAGGAACTTTTTCTGTTATTTTTGGATGTCCTTTATTCAAAAAATATTGCGTTTGTTTTTTTTAATCACCCTACAGAGTTGTAAGCAAAAGTAGTTGGAGGCGCTACTGTACTTGAGATGTAAATATCGTGAAGATAAGCATCGATGTCTGAGTCTCTAAAAGAAATGAACTTAATGATCTAAGTATTCTAAATATAATAATACACATGTTTGATGTACATATCTGAATCAAGATTATTTCAATTTTTAGTGTTTTATTATATTTGGAAGTTAAAAATAGTATTAAATGTCATTGATGTGCATCGATGGTAAACGCTTATTTTTTATTCTGTATCTTTACACGGTACGTATGCTTATTTTAGCGCAGGCTAGACTTTATTTGGATTGGGTATCATCTGGTGGTATACGATGGTCAACGATAATAATACGGTTGAGTTTTCAGCATTTTATGGATGATTGCAAGCTTGAAGTACACAAAACGATAGATATGTGTGAAGACAAAAGCCCAAACTTGGTTCACGAGGATGTTGTTAAAGTGATTAAATATATCTGTGACAAAAAACCTGAAGGTGCCATACTTTGCTTTTTACCAGGATGGGAGGACATTACTAAAGTATATAAAATGATTCCAGAGAGGAACGATTTAGTGACGTACTGCTTGCATTCTAGGTGAGAGTCACTTATATGCTTATTATGTCTAGTAAAAATGAGTCTAGCAGGTTGTTCCAGCACTTCCCATACTGTGGTATAAAACATTTTAAAGTTTAAATACATGAATATTTTAAGCATAATTTGTGATAAATGAAATATGAAAAATTTCAGATTTCAAATTATTTGGCGCGAAAAGAAAATAGTTTATCCATATATTTCATGGAAATCTTGGGCTAACTCGTCAGTCTTTGCATTTGATATTGAAAACAAAATAATCTTTATCATGTAGTACATATTTTAACAGTCCTTTGAATAAGCTATAATAAGCTGATTGGTGGAATGTTATCAGTCTTTCTATATGGCGCGGAGGAAACTACCATGCATCCAGAATCGATATATGCATTATGTTTATATGAATGTATCGATAAACATTCTCTTATGCTTACGGCTATAAACACTACAGTACAAAACATGTCTTTATCAAGTGACAGGGATACGGCACATACAGTCGTGGACAAAAGTATGGAAAGATATGTTTTTTGGTTATACTCTTATTTTTTAATCAATAATTAATTACGTACTAAAAAATAAACATCCACTACTAACTTAGTAACATTTCAGAAACAAATGAAAATACAAAATAAAACCAAGTCCCATATATGATAAGTAAAGAAAACCTTTGGAAAAAGTATGAAAAGAATATATTTTTATTAAAAAAAAGTTAAACATACAAATTAAACAAGCAATGTTCAGTATTTTGTTTAAAATCCTTTCGCCTTATGAGTTCCCTACATCTTCTTGGTATGGAATCAACATGATTTCGACACACATCAAATGGAATCTTCCGCCATTCATCTTGTAGAACTTCTGCTCCCAAAGGTGCTCAATTATATTGAGGTCGGGGGATTGTGAAGGCCATTCCAGTAAATCAAGGCTCTTATCTAAAAACCAATTTTTTACTAAATGGGATGAATGTTTCGGGTCATTATCTTTTTGATATCTCCACCTCAACGGCATTTCTTCTTCGGCATAAGGTAACATAGTATTCTGTAATATGTCGCGGTACATAAAGCGATCCATTTCCTCATTTTTGTACTTAGGATGCGTCTAGGTTAATTCTAAAACAAGTAAAAGTGTTTCATGGGATGAAAAAAACAATAAAAATTGGAATTTTGTCCAAAATTCGGTGTATGTTACAAATTGGTTGCCATGAGGCCATGACGATAGGCGATAATTATCACCTAGAATTTCAAAAGTACCAAATTTTTGTAACACGTACGAGTATATGAGTTTCATCACCGATTTAAAAAACACGGGCCTGGGTTAAATGCCCCAGAATATAACCAAAATTACCCGCATGGGTATTACGTAAGTCAAACTTAACGACATAATCGCATTAAAAAATCTGCATAATGTTAAGTTGCGTACTAGCTAGTCGCTAGTCCACATTCCGTGCACTCGCTGTGAGCTTAAGCGTTTATGGCAATAAATGGCCATTATCTAAACAACTACACGCATTGTTGGTTGCAGAAAGCAAGTACATGTTTTGTGAAGCCAAGTAGTCTGTAGCGTTTATCTCTGAGCTGAGCCTGACGGGAAGTTATAAATTACGATTTTTCCCGTTTTTTTTTTCAAAAACATTGAGGAGCACTACGGGAAATCGCCACCGCGCTCGCGTTGTGTGCAATTAAGCTACATCACAGAAAAATTAGGAATGACGCATGACACATCAAACATTTAGGCGCTGGTTTGTATTTTCTATTGACATCGCAAATAAATTTCTAAATATTTAAATGACTGGAAGTAAAAAATAATGTAATAACCTTTTCACTTTCATAAACATTCCTGTCTGTAGCCTATTTTCTTGTTCCTTCACCAACCAGGGATTTTTCTTTTCTTATCTCTCATTTTTGAAATTCAGCAAATTAGCATATGTAATTTCCAAAATGAATAAGAAAAAGTGGATGCTCAGCTAATTTCTAGCTCTTAATCTCAAGTAAGTGTATTTGAGACAATAAAACCAATGGAATTATCAGCAACACATATTATTAGCACACAAATCCTCACTATGCACCTATGCACTGCGGTTTCCTTCTAAAGCTATAGTATACAACTTACAGCTTAGACCTCCAATAATGCCATCTCTGAAGCAGATTTTACATCACATCTGAGCCAAATATTGATAACTGAAGCCTCTTGACGTTTAGGCAACACGTACAACTACAAAACGAGTTCACAACACGTGTCCATCAGCTAGTGCTAAGTTAACATCATGTAGAAAAACCTACATAATGTCACAAAAAAACAATATAATGTAAAAGAAATCGACATAATGTCAAGATTCATTTCGGATTCAGTTCCGAACATTACTGCGTCTGCCAAATATCATTTTAGTGAGTTCGAGACCGAATTTGACTGTTGAAATCCATGTCCTATCGACCTAGCATTTCACATCGCCTCACTATATTAATAACACCTGAAGATGCTTTCGCGCAATTTTACCTTATTTAAAATAATTCTTGAAATAACTTGCATAAGCCGCTTAAAAGAACATTTCTGTATTATAATATCTAGGCGTCGACAACATATCTTCTTTTTGTGCAAGTACCCTATTGACATGGGAAGTAAAAATCCGTTTCATGGAAAAATATCTTACAAAGTTTCATTTCGCTATGAAAGAATTTACTGATCTGTCGATCAGTAATATGAAAATGATCGGTGTTTTTATGCTGAGTTGGATGTAGTTTGATCTTTGACATTTTTTCAGACTCCAAGATTCCGAGCAATGGAAAATCTTCTCCCGTCCCCCACCAGGCGTTAGAAAAATCATCCTAGCCACAAATATCGCCGAAACCTCAGTAACAGTTGACGACGTAGTCTACGTAGTCGATTCGGGCATTCACAAAGAGCAAAGATTCGATGTTGAGAAAGGCGTGAATTGCATAGACAATTATTGGATTTCTAAGGCTAGCGCTATACAGCGTAAAGGACGTGCGGGTAGGGTGCAGCCAGGGGAGAGTTACCATATGTATACAAAGGAGAAGTATAAGGAGTTTGAAGACTATTCCATGCCGGAGATTATGAGGACTAGTCTTACTAAGATCGTGTTGGATTCGAAGGTATGCGATGCTTAGGAGATTTATGTTTATTTATTTATTTCCCAGCGACAAAAACATCGTAAGGGAATAGGAATTTTAAACTTGAATCTAAAAGCCTATATCTAACAACAGACAGTTGAATAATAAATAAGATTTAACGGCTTATATCATAATATTCTTCCACACTATAAAAGCTATTTTCAATTAAATAGTCTTTTACGAGATTCTCAAATATCTTTAGATTGTGGCAAATCTTTATTTCAATTTAAGTAGGTTGAACATTTTTAAACCATTCATATGTTAACCTAGATAGCCTGTAGTACTAAATATAGTATAAATTTTACCAGTTCTGACAAATCAAAGTATTTTCAGTACGCTGTTGAAGTTCTTGCAGAGTATTTACTGCTCCATCCTGATGCACCAACTCTTTCAAATAGACCCACAGAAAATCGCAAGGCGTTAAATCCGGGTAGTGAGCAGGCCAGGAAGTAGGTCCATTGCGCCCTATCTATCTATTCGGAAACTCATTATTTAGATGTTCATGAACTTCTGGAGAAAATCTAAATAAATTTCACCGGTAAGTCGAGGTGGAAAAAAGTAGGGTCCAATAAGCAAGCCATTTAGCCACATGTTAATGTCGCAGCGCAATGGTAGGCGGCCTTTTTGGGCGCTGGCTAAGCAGATTGAAAGAAACTTCGCACAGTAGCCTGCCACCGCTTACGTGTCAGGATGGAATGATTGTAACCGACTCAAAGGCCAAAGGGGAAGTGCTTACCAACATCTTTGCTGCCAACACCTCCATTCCTGTAAGATCAACGCCCATGTGCCGTCGATGTAAAGGGATCCCTGCACTATGTGGGAAGTAACATTCAGGCATAATACCCTGGACGGGTGCTCTTGTCGCTCGATATCAACAAAAAGCTGGAAATTTGCTCATGTCCAATCAATCCTAAAAAATGATCTAAGACCGACCCCCGCGCAATTGTGGAGTAAAGTCATCCAGTCTTATGGTGAGGCGTATGTCGTTGCTCTTGATATCACGAAAGCATTCGATCAGCTGTGGCATGTTGCCCTCTTATGCAAACTTCCATCCTATGGCCTCCCAGATGGCCTTACAGATGGGTGACTGTCTTTCTCTCTGGCCGCACGATATCCGTCGTAGTTGAGGGTTCTCCTCTTCATCACACAACGCAAGTGTTCCCCATGGATCAGTCTTGGCTCCCACACTGTTCCTCTGACATATCAACGACCTGCATTCCCGTACGATCAACCCAATCCACAGCTTTGCTGATGACAGCACTCTACAAGCTGGAATTCAGAAGAGCGACAAGCCGATCTCTGCCGCTGAGCTGGAAAAAAGGAGCCTAGCGACGACTTCCTCCCTGACGAGAAACCTGGAGGTTATCACTGCCTGAGGGCGCAACAGTTTTGTACAATTTAATGCTTCCAAAACACAGTACTGTACCTTGACGAACAAAAAGTGTCCTAGAGCTCATCCGGTTTCGGTGGATGTCCGAGTTCTATAAAATGGACCGCCTCTTTTTGTACAGCGAAAAATATTTTTTGTCACATTCCTAGGTATGCAGCAATAATATGAATGCTTTGGAGTTCATGGTGAAACTTCCAACTCCGCCAGAAGAAAATGCCACACTTAGAGCCGTGGAAGATCTTAAAGATTTGGAACTCTTAGATGAAAATGAAAATTTGACATCTTTGGGTGAGTAGGGATCCCAAAACGTTTTATGATGCTACTATAATAGTAGAAATACAATACCTTAAGGTTCGATATTGTCTATATTTATTCATTGACTAAATCTTCCAGGCAAAACCTTAGCAGAATTCCAGCTTGAACCAAGTTTCTCCAAAGCCATGGTAAACGCAGTCATTTTTAAATGTGTCACACCCGTCGTGGACATAGTCACTCTCTTCTCATCTGAAACAGAGTTATTTTCGTCAGGTTTGATGAACAAGGAGAACATCAAAGCTACAAAGAGCGATTTTTGCAGCTCCAGTGATCATCTTGCGATGATGAGAATTTTTGAAAAGTTTTTGGAATTTTCTGACGCCAACAATGAAACTGGACTGAGAATGTTTTGTAAACGGTTGAATTTGGTGCCTCATAGAATGAAAACGATAGAAAGTGAGTATCATTCACATATCATATGTACATGACACTTTATTAAGTTTATATCAAGAAAAGGTACAGGATACAGATAACAGACATATCAGTGGCATTATAGCCAACTTAATGATATGTCGACAACAATAGGGTTTACTGATGTCAACAGATAGTTGTTGGTAAAGATGTTAGTCAAAATTATGCCAAATCTATATACGAGGTGTGTTCAGAAAATAGCGGGAATTTTTAAATTTCGAGGGTTTGAAGAATCTGATGGCCTCATTTTTTTATTATGTTGGTATACCTGCCCTGAAGCATGGTAAAATTTCAGCTGTATTCATTGTTTACTTTATCTGTCGCAGCCGCTAAGGTTAGACGTGTTTTTATGAGCTCGGCGATTTACGTTTGTGAAAAGAAATGGATCAAAGAATTTGTATCAAATTTTGCGTTAAAAAATGAAATAAAACGTAACAAAGCGTGTAAACAAACGGGTATGATGAGACTGCTATGAGTATAAAAGAGTTTAGAAGTGGTATATAAGCATTTCCGAGTTGGCCGTGAAGACGTTGAAGATAGCGGACGCCCCAGTATATCGACAAACGATGAGTCTTCTCTTTATTTTTATTTTCTTTTAAATAACCAATTTCATGGAGTCAGCACTATGCAAAACACCCATCTGCATATACCGTTCGCGAAGTATAATTCTTTTAAAAAGTCACCAAATGTGTAAGGACCTAGAAATTTTAATAGGCTTCCCTAAGATATTAAGTGCAGTCCGTTATCAGCTTTAAAAAAGGCTTGAAACATTTTGTATTTGACAAATGCTTTTACGTCGTCAAAGAATTTTTTAGCTTATAGGCATTTATTTCATTTTGATTAATCTAATGTAATTTCGTGTCAATATGGATATTATTATTATTAATACGCGGAAAAAGTGAAAGAAATGGTTATGAAACATCACCGAATCACAATCAGATAAATCGCTGGTGATGCTGGCAACCGAATGGTACATGGCAAGAAATGTTTTCGAATGTTTTGGGTATGAAACACGTGACAGCAAAATTTGTTTCAAAATTGAACGAAAATAGTAGCGAATGGATACTAAATGAAGTTAATGACGTTGCAGAATTACTGAAATGTTTCATAACAGGTGACGAAACATGGGTTTATGGGTATGATGTCGAAACTAAGGCTCAGTCGTAGGAGGCATCCTGGCGTGCCAAAACCGAAAAAGTCTCGACAAGTCAAACGTGATGGTTATGCTCACTGTGTTCTTCGATTTCAATGGCATAGTTCATAATGGATTCTCGCCACGAGGTCAAACGGTCCATAAGAAGTACTACCTATAAGTTCAACGTCGTTTGCGTGAAGCTATCCGGAAAAAATGTCCGGATTTGTGGAAAAACAATTCAAAGCTTTTACCTCATGATAATACACCTGCTCATACTTCATTGCTTGTTCGTTAATTTTTAGCCAGAAACAATACTGTAATGACTTCCCAGCCTCCATATTCGCCAGATATGGTTCCGTGTATCTTTTAATGGAGACGAATAAATATGTTATACAAAAAATGAAAATTCCCTTTATTTTCTGAATACCGTTTGAACCATGGGGTGGATTTAATGTTCTACGATCTGGATACATACAGTTAACTTGAGAATATTTTATCTTTATCACATTTATATGCTTTTGTGTATTGGAGCATAATTTACGCCCTGATTTTTTCAGAACTTCGAAAGATTCATTTTGACTACCTCTTTAATGGTCTTTATGATGTAATGCCAATTGCTGATGACTATTCAGATAATGACGAATTGGTAAAAGCAGTTATTTTGTCGGGAATCGGTAATATTTTGCAACACAGGAACTGGGATATTGTGAAAAATAGGTTGAAGCAAAATGTGAATGTTTTGCTAACAAGGTACAACAGTTTCTATTTGCCATTTATTTATTTTTTATTGTTATGGTTTCTGTAACTTTTATTCATTGTGTGTGCGAGCAGTCCATACAGTTTTGTGGACCACTATGTCATGCTTTTCAGTAGTATCAAATAATGAGCTCCAAAATACGTAGTTACTGAACTTATTTTTCAGAAATAACCACAAGGCTACTATAACACAGGAGAGTGTGAATTACAAAAGGAATTGTTTCCCAAGCGAATTTTTACTGTATTTAAATGAGACTAGATCAAATGTTCGACGAATGACATTGGTGAGAGAATGTAGCCTTGTGTCACAGTTATCAGTGTTGTTGTTTAGCAACAAAAACCTGAACATCGAAAAGGTAATAATTGAGAGACTTTGTATAAGGAGTGAAATGTTTTGGAATGATAGATAACATAGATAAATATGAGGTTTTTAGATTAAGTGATGAAACTGGCAACGTAACGTTCGATCTGGCAGCACTGGAGGCACCGGGATTGGAGGGGAGACAGGGGGATATGTGATTCGCCTTCAGTACAAGTTTGAACATGCTCGAGTTATTTGGTTGTCCGCAGCGATTTTTTTGTGTAACAGATTTTTCTATTGTGTTCTAAAATGAGCGACATCAATTTCAAACAACAGACACCACTGTGTCAGGTTTTGCTTCAGACTTTGGCACAGTGCAACGGAAAGTCTTGCTAAACAGGCCTCCGGAGATGTGTTTTGTCAACAGCCTGGGGTTTTCTGCGGCTTAAGGTATTTTCAGAAGGGCGAAAGTCGATTGAAGATGAACCACGAAGCGGAAGACCTCTTCAATAAAATATTGACAAAATCCGGGATCTTGTGCCTTCAGATCGTCGGTTGACAGTCAGAATGATCGGGGAAGAGTTAAATTTGACTCACACCATCATTGATCGGATCAAGAAGAACTGTGTGTTGCATTACGATAATGCTCCTTATCACACAGCTATGTCAATGAACGAGTTTTTGGCCAGTAAAAACATTCCTGTTCTCCTCATCCTGCTTAGTCTCATGACTTTGAGACGTTGTGACTTTTTTATCTTCCCGAAGTTGAAAAATCACCTTAACCCTCCAATAGTCGCGCACGGTCTCACAGACCGACGAAGAATCAAAATATCGGTAAAAACCCCAAATATGCTTGCAATAGTACGCCGCTCTAGGAATTCCCCCCACTTCATTCAACGCTTCTTCTAGACATGCGGCAACATTGGTTAGTGTGATATTGTGCGGTCAACAGCCAATATCGGTCTCAGGCACCGACGCGACTATTTACGCACGATCGTGAACACTGAACGCAAACAAGGTGAGGTGTATAAATTCAATTATTTCAGTAATCCCATGGCGTTATCTTATGATTTTGGTATTTGTAGATGTACAGGTATACTTATGAAAAGGAACAACAGCGACTTCAATATTTGTTTGAAACAGTCACCATCACAGACACTGAGTCGGACCATGATTCTGACGAAGATGAGATTTCCAGTCATCAGTTAGAAAGTTGTTCCTCCAACCAAATTATCGACAAAGGTGAAGAATATTTGGATTCCGAATCGGACTGTGATGAAGCAGATTTTGTTCAGGAGCCTCTAGAAGCTCATGGTTCAAACGAAGAAGCTAACATCACATATTTTGAGCCACCACTCAGCAATACCCTAAGTTTTTTGGGTAAGGATAAGCAAACAAGATGGAAAAAAGTTTCTCCCTTACCGAAGAATACTAAGACTAGATCTGAGAATATCATAAAAGTATTGCCAAGACCAAGTACATACACAAAAAACTTGAAAACTCCCATAGAAATTTGGAAATATTTTTTTTCAGAAGAAATTATTGATACTATTGTTATACATACTAACGAAATGATTGAGGGCATTCAAGCAAATTTTGCAAGAGACAGGGATGCAAATTTTACAAATTCAGATGAAATTCATGCACTTCTGGGTTTACTGTATTTAGCTGGAAAGTACAAGGCGAGTCATCTCAATTTAGACGATTTATGGAAAGCTGACGGATCTGGAATAGAAATATTTCGGTTAGTGATGTCTCTTAGAAGATTCAGGTTTTTGATGCGAGTCTTACGTTTTGATAATAAAGCTTCACGTCAGGATCGACTGAAACAGGATAAACTTGCTGCAATACGACATATTTTTGATTTGTTTGTAGAACGATGCCGCAAAGGATATCATAATTCGGAATTCGTCACAATTGATGAAATGCTTTTGGGATTTCGTGGGAAATGTAATTTCCGGCAGTATATTCCGTCAAAGCCAAACAAATACGGGATAAAAGTTTTAGCAATGTGTGACGCTAAAATGTACTATACCAGTAATTTGGAAGTGTATGTTGGTCTTCAACCAGAAGGTCCTTATAAAGTATCAAACAGTGCTCTTGATGTTGTCATGAGACTCTCAAAGGGAATTCAAGGAACAAATAGAAATATCACAATGGATAATTGGTTCACTAGCGTTCCATTATTTAGACAACTTTATCAAAAAAAAATTGACAGCTGTAGGTACTATCCGCAAAAATAAGCGAGAGCTACCCTTGGAGTTTACAGTTCCGGCAACCAGACCACCAAAGTCTAGCATGTTTGGATTTCACTGTGAATGTACACTTGTATCATACATTCCTAAAAAAAGAAAGAATGTTTGGATTTCACTGTGAATGTACACTTGTATCATACATTCCTAAAAAAAGAAAGAATGTATTTACTTTTGTCCACGATGCATCACAATGATGATTTAGATTTAAACACAGGTGATCTTTTGAAACCAGTTATAATAACTGATTATAATTCCACAAAAAGTGGTGTTGATATAGTGGACAAGCTAATTGCCAACTATAACTGTGCTCGTGGTACCAGAAGGTGGCCTGTAGTGATATTTTATGCACTAATGAATATTGCTGGTATAAATAGCCAAATTATTTACTTGGCTAATAATCCGAATGCTGAGGTTTGAGAAGAGCTTTCATTCATAATTTATCATATGAACTTTTTACTCCACATATGCGAAAAAGGTCCAGTTCGCCATATATTCCAAGACTGATGCGATTACGTCTAAAAGAACTAACAAACCAAGATACTACCGAAGCTCCAGTTGAAAGAGGGCAAATTGGAAGATGCAAATTTTGTGGATCTAAGAAAAACCGCAAAACAAAATATAAATGCGAACATTGCGGTGTTTTTTTGTGCTTAGAACACTTATTTGGCATATGTAACGATTGTAAATGATTCAGTTTACCTTTGTACAGCGTTTTTCAATAGTTCAGTATAGCAATGTTTTTTTAACTTTTTTTACTACTCCTTTTTAGAGCTACCTCTTCTTTGCATTTTGCTTGTTATTTTGTAGGGATATGTTTTTAATTTAAATAAAACTGGTTTAAAGTATGCAGTATTATCATTTTTATTTGAAAAAAGTCAAACCTACTTCGTAATATGCAACTTTTTTCTACCTAGTAAAGCCGGTCTCAGGGACCGACGCGACCAAACTATCCTAAATTTATCACGCGACAACTGTAGGGTTAAGGGAACTCATCTTCAGACAGTCAAAAAAGTGGCTGTAACCGACCAGCTGAAGGCTATTCCAGTATCGGATTTCCAGCACTGCTTTCAGAAGAAAGTTATTTTGACGGTGACGATATAAAATTGTAACTACGTTTGAATAAAAATGTTTAAAAAATCAGTCTCATCACTTACTTTACAGATCTCGAGTGCTTATTGTCTGAAGAATACAATAATTCTTAAGGACAAAGCTAACTTAAAACTGAAGTATAATATAATTAAATTGGATTAAGTAGCTGAATTGTAGAATTCACACAAGGTATAATATGGTTTACATATTAAAACGTGTTTAAGTTGATGGCGGAAATATCTTTAAATTACTTGTAAATTTTCACACGATTATAAATAATTGAATCTTTCACAAGTGTTGTTTTAGGTAGTGCTGATTTGAGATCTTGTTTTCGGCTAATATTGTAACTTATATTTAATGTTTCAAATTTTGATTTATTTAAAAAAATAAGTGTTGCTGTTTCTATAATGAACAATGATACGACAGTTAAATAAAGGCCAGCATATGATGAAGTGATCAAAAGCTTTAGAAATTTACTTCTTCTGGTAATCAGATATTTTTTATTTGCAATGTGTTTGTTTCGTTTTTAGGTTGATGATGACATCAAAAGTGATATTAGCTCTGATGATCCAGTGAAATTAGTGTTAGAAAACACAACCGTGAAACTTATCTGTGATAGAAAGTAAGTACCATTACCGCCTTTGCGCTTCTATAACAGCAGCGTTGATAGTGATTAGAATTGATACACAAGAATATTTTATAAGATTTCTGAAGGGTCTTGATTTATATTCGGATCCTTCTTATTTTCACAGTCAAGAACAGAAATGGAAGTAGATATTACGATTTCAGTTTCATACCCATTCTTTGGAAAATATTGATTCTATGGTCGTGACTTATGGGTGTGACTATTTCGAACCGTGGCTTGCATAACTGCAAATCTGTTTGTTTGTTTGTTTGTTGAGTATTTATTTAGCATTAATGCTACAATGTTAATTTTGTAAAATTATTCGCCAATATATTTTTCATCAATCCATTTTCTGCAATTTCACATTCTTGTCTATTAAAAATACATCATTACGCATTTTGATTATTCATAAAGTGATTTTTCAATTTCACCTTGTACATTTTTAAATTCGAACACTACTTAATATAATTATTCAATTTATTAAATTCAAATACTCCCTTTTGAAATATAGATTTACTAGTTATGCTACTATTACAATTTTGCAGATGAAAATCTATACTGCCTCTAGTTTCGTAGTTTTGATAATGACTATTTAATTTTGTGAAGTTTTCTGCTAATAAATGATTTTTCAATTTGTATCTGCAAACGAGAACTAAATAACATATGAAATTTTTCACATTCAACCACTGTATCTCTTCTAACATAGACTCAATCCTAGCTTATTTGTTTTTATTTAAAATGATAGCTTTATTTTGTTGAATTTGTTATTTTTATAATATGTTTTCATTTGCTGTGAATAGGATGGTTGAGCAATATAAAAAATGGGGAAGAATTTTTTTTTGGAATATATACTAAAATAATGGGAAATAATAATGCTTGTGAAGCAGATTCGACTTCAGTTTTTTTATCGTTAATCATGAGCCTAATTGTATTGTCACCTAAATGTTTCCCTACTGACATACATTTTGTTTTATTAGTGAGTAATTTAAGTTTATTAACATTTAACCAATCCATAATTTTTTCAATATTGGTTCATATTATTAGCAAGTTACATGATTTATGACAATTCTTGACCAATTAATAGATGCTACAAAAATAAGTAAATATTCCAAATATTGTAACCACATCGGAATGTTCGTCCAAATCCAATAAATGCAAAGATTCACAAAAACAATGTACCCACCAACTTAGTAAATTGTTTGACAAGACTGCTAAAAGAATTAAGGGAGCAAGAAAACGATCCATATGTTCCAAAAAACAAAAATACCGACCAGGGGGGATTTAGAAAATATTTTTTGAGGGGATTCGAAAGACAGATTTAGGCAGCAGCGGGGGCCGCAGTAGTAGACTCTTCGGTCTCCTGATCAGTCGCCGTGCGCTGGGCGGGTTCGAGTCCCGTCCCAGGAGAAACTTTTCTCTTGGCTATGGATGTTGTGATTGTCCGTAGGTGGTAGATGGTCTCTGACTGTCGAACGTGGAGGTACCACCCGGCGGATCTCGTAGGCGGAGCCAGAATGTGTGCATGTTGCATGCACACGTGTTCCCTCGCGCAGAGTCCGTGTGGCGTCCCCCCTTTCCCATGTATCCCCCTCTAGCCCCACGGTACCCGATGGGTGCTTAGGCCTTAGGCCTTCGTGGTAGTTGGAGTATGAAAAAAGGTCAGTATTTTTGATTTTTTCGAATATCTCATGAATAAAAAAATAACATTTTCCCAATTGCTTTTTTTTAAAACGGAAAGTGTTACATATATCCAATAATGATAACAAAAAAGAAAAATTATTTTTCTATTTTCAACTAGGTTACTAGACTAATCATATTAGTAAATTTTCCCGAAATAATTGTAAAGTCTAGTTTTATTGCTGCAAGTTGTTCAAGAGGGTATGTAAAACATGGACGCATAATTTTTTTTGGGAAAACTTTTTATTTGACAACGAAGAATGAGAAAACTTGTTTTTTGGGATTCAATCGAAAATGTTGACAGGAAGGAAAACATTTTTCAAATAAGATTTTTAGGTATTTATGAGACCCACAAAATAATCCGTAAAAAGATCCGACTAATAGCAAAAATGTTTTGGCACTTGTTGGCAATGCGATAATTTCACGCAACTACTTGAAATTCTCCATATCCGTAGGATTGATACTTCTAAATAACAACAACAAAATTGGAGTTTATTGGTCAAGTAGTTTTTGAGAATTTCTAATTGTTCACCCCAAAACCTGTTTTCCGGCCATTTCTAACATTGCCGATATGAATCACAATTCAGTCTGAAAGATAATGTTATTTTTAAGCGAAAAACAAAGATTACGTTTTCTTCTAAACAAATTCAAACATTTAGTATTTGTGAGTAATTGAACAAATGCGCTACGATATTCGAAAAACATACGTTACCATACACATTTTAAAACAAAGCGGATGTGTCTGTTATCTTTTGTTGCGAATTACTCACAAATACGAAATGTTTGAATTTGTTTAGAAGAAAAAACGTAACCCATCCTTTTTTGCATAAAAATAACATTTATCTTCCGGAATGGTTTGCGAATCATATCGGCAAGGTAAACTATTTTGCTGTAAAATGTCCTTTGAACTAACCCTGGTATATTGCTCAATAAACTAGTAGTGATGGCCGGAAAACAGGTGTGTTGCTATAAACAATTAGAAATTCTCAAAAACTACTTGACCAATCTACTCCAATTTTGTTGTGGTTATTCAGAAGTAGGAATCCTACGAGTTTCAAAAATTTTAAGTATCTGCGAGAAACCAAATTCGCATTACCAACAAGTGCAGTTTGCCTGTTTTCGGCCATAACTTTTTTGCTATTAGTAGGATCTTTTTACGTGTGGTCTCATTTTGTAGTTCTCATAAATACCTAAAAATCTTATATGAAGAGTTTTTTCGTTCCTGCCAACACTTTCGATTGAATCCCAAAAATCACGTTTTCTCATTCTTTCTTGTCGAATAAAAAAATTAAAAATAAATTGAACAACTTGCATGAATAAAACCAGACTACAGTTATTTCGCAAACCAGGGGATTTTCGTCTAATATAATTAGGCTATATATTATGTTTTGATACATAAATTTTGCTCCTTTGATTTCTTTCAAATTTTGACCAATCGGTCCGGAGAAACCGTACAATGGATCGATCTGCAGTCGTGCAGTGTTATTAGAGATACATTAAGGTATAAAAACCTAAAAACATTAACCTTCTCATTAGCAATTCAAAAAATGTGGTGGATTTTCCAAAACAAGCAAAACGTAACTTTTATTGATGTCCTTAAAACCAATACCGAGGAAACAAAAAAAGATTCTTAAAAGATTGCGATCAAATTTTATAGGAGCTTCATTCCAGTTTGGATTTTGTTGTTGTTAGGCGTGATACGTGTGGTGGCACGGCCTCCAGTTGGGCAGAAATTTTTAACTTTGTGGCGGCTTATCACTAGAATCTGATTGCCTGTCCACTCTGAAGTTTTTGTTCATTTTCAGGGAAGCTGAGGAGCTTATCAGGTGCAAAGTAGCATTAATGTCTTGTTACCGCTATTACACAAGACAGTTGACTAATCCACCGGAATACAATAAAAGTGTCAACGCTGCATGGGACGAAATTTTAGTTATACTAAACAAAATTCTCAAACGTCACCAAGTTGACTGAGATAATAGTAGTTAGGATGGTTTTGTATTCAAAGTATCAGAGTCGACAGACAATTTATTTAGTTGTTTTCAGATTAACTATTATATTATATGGATATCAAACCAAAATTTGAATACACTAAATATTTTTCAGATTTTTTTTGAAGTAATACATAGGTTGACAGGTAAGCCATTATTGCTTGAACACTCTTATATATCCTAAGAGGCATAGCGCCGAGGGATACAATGTGCAAAATCAATAATGGCCGCCTTCACTGAGGTATGCATAGAATTATTTCACTACTAACTATACAATATCATTGCCTTCGATTTATTTTCTAAGATATTAATATTTTCATTGTATTGCGTAAGTTACTCTAACCTCTGCGTAAATCAACGATTATGACGTTTCATACTCATTTTACAAATAGTTTGAATCATCTAGTAGTCTGGTGTCAAACTGTCAAATTCATATGAATGCAGTAGGAAGCAGAGCTGGCCTGGGGACGGGCCCATTTCAGTTTCAGAGGAGAGTAAAGTACTAGTGATTATTGGTTGTGTCTTTATTTTGCTGGCATTAAAAGCCGTTTTCCAATAATCTCTCGATTATCAAAATATTCAAGAAAAGCGATACCTAATATTAGTTACTTTGTTGTGGTTTGGACAATGATCTAAACCATTTTTTGTCTTTAAAGCTATTTGAAATTGTTTCCGAACAGTTTTTGTAGTACGACTGATACATTTTTACAATAAACCAAGATACAATCTGTAAGACATTGAGGGTTTTTCTATTATTTTGCCTTACATGTCGGATTTTTGAAATACTTTGAGAGCCTCTGATAGATATTTTAGTGTATTCGTTATTTTGTCCATTATTTTTTATTTTGGAGTTTTGAAAAATACACTTGTTTATGTTTTGAACATATTTTATATGCATACAAATCTTGAAAATAGTGATTATTAGTTGTGTCTTTATTTTGCTGGCATTAAAAGCCGTTTTCCAATAATCTACCGATTATCGAAATATTCAAGAAAAGATATACCTAATATTAGCTACCTTGTTGTGGTTTGGACAATGGTCTAAACCATTTTTTTGCTTTTAAAGCGATTTGTAATTGTTTCCGAACAATTTTTGTAGTACGACTGGAACATTTTTACAATAAACCAAGATACAATCTGTAAGACATTGAGGGATTTTCTATTACTTTGCCTTAAATGTCGGATTTTTGAAATACTCTGAGAACCTCTGTCGGATGATGTTGTGTTTCATTGAGTGAAATGATTAAAAGTATAGCAAATATGCCAATTTCTGGTGTTTGCTTTTTTTAAGTAGCAGCCGAAATGTGTTTTCAGTTTCATTTACTGATAAGTATTTTTCTGTTTTTGTAGTAACTCTGTATTTGGAGCTTGCAACTGAATGTTCTGCAAGAATTCAAAATAAATGATATTCTGGAAGATTATCGTAACATTATTTTAAAATTGTGTAGAACCGAGCGGAGAAGCATATACCATATGAATAGGTTTTCGGAGCGTCAAGCCACACCTTCCAATACACAGATTCCTTTATGCCCTAGGGTGGTAATTATAGCTTTCGATATGATCAAACAATTGCCCGTTAAACTCCCTTAATTTTTTGCCTTCACAGATATGCCTTGCATGTATAAGTTTTTTGACGTATTCAATGGCATTTTCCAATGGATTGAATAAACCGTAGTAATAAAATTTCAAATTTGAAATCGCGCGCTTGTATTTGCCGGATGACATGGTCACTGACGTTTGATCGTTGACAGAGGAGACAGAAGTAAGTTCCGGCCCGAGGAAAGATAACTTGGCCACGCAAGGCAACTATGGAAATATACCTACTAGACTATCAGTAGAGAAATTTTTCTCGAAATCGTTGCACAACACTTGAAAATATTCAAATGAAGATCGGAAAACTGCTGCTTTGACGCTCTATACGAAGCCGTTGCTACCCCGGGATAGACATATGTTTTGAAAGTTGACCTTGTCATTCTTGTCACCTGCATTGCGGCGTTGCCACCTTATTGGACGATTTTGCTATCACAAATTCCTTTTACTAAAAATAGTTTTTTGTTCGAGGAATTGCTAATACTTTTGAGATTTTTCAGAATACTTAGAAGAATGTTATATTAGTACACGTTTCTGTAAATTTTATTTTTATAATAATGTATTACAGGGTGGCCAAGATAAAGATCAGACTAGGTTAAATTCAGTCATCACATCAATCTTACAGCAAGCAGTTGTTTGCAACGCCTACCTAAATAAAATGAAAAAGTATAAAAAACACCTTTGTTTATAACTAAAAAACAAATGTAACGTGATACATCGTTGAAGTCGTAGAAAAAGATGCTATTAGATACAGGGTAGTACTTTTTTAAGAACACCATTATGTAGTGCCATTAGTTTTTTGAAATTTCTTAAAATAAGGTCAGACAATAATAAAAACGATTTGGCCAAAGTAATACGCATCGCTCGGGTTACCTATCCTATTTTCTGATCGAATTCACTTTCCTCTTTTTTCCCAAATACCTCAGTATATGACTAATCTCTCGGTGCGCAATTTATTAAAAAAAAAACAGGATGTCAACCCTAACACACAAGTAGATGAGTATGCAAGGCTCACCTAGTTTCATGCACAGATATCCTGTTTGCCTCAGAAGAGTTGGAAGTAGACCTAATTTACACTTTGGAGACACTTGACACCCTCGTCACAACACTAAAACACCAAAGTACCAGTGAGAGACTATCGAGAACCCTATAGTGAACATCACTACTGAAAAAAGTAGCTAAACCGAATAGAGCTCTGCACGGAGCTGAGAACGCGTAGACATTCCGCTACGCCGACGATTGCCGAGAAACTGAATCGTGTGAGTGCTGTACCTCGCTGCGGCGATACGGTACGGCCGGGTAGTACAGCCACGCCCCTTTCCAGCTCCCACTTCGCGCGTCTGCTCTCGGAAAACATAAACATCAAGTCGTTTCTTGATACTGTCAGATAAGAAAACTCAAGAAAAAAAACAAAACAACTGCATTGACCGAGACGTTTCTTATTTAAAAAATGACCCTCGTATAAACTGTTACATCAATGCTACTTTTTTTTTTAGTTTAATAACTGTGGCTTGCTGGCGTTTTTCGATTGTACAAATGAAGCCAGAATTGTGGAACAACTTGATTTTCTTCACCCGATACAATTAATTTTAGCAGAGACGGTTGAGGTTTTCCTCACCCAAGTGCGAATACAGTCACTAAAAAACTATATTCCCCTAATAAGTAGTAGAGAAAATGAAAATCGTGCTTCTATTAATGATCATGTAATTTTAGATCAAATAATTAATAAATATATTTATATCATAAAACATTGTTTTTTCAATTGTTGGAAGAAGTCTTGTATACAAAAAGTATTTTATCCTCTAAAACTGGGCATTTACAAAAGTGTTCAGAGACATTGACGTTCCGCCGCATAGACGCCAGGCGACGGAAAATGTAAATAACAACTCTTTTTTAGTTTTTTGGCAAACATTGCTACGCCTCAAATTTTATCTATTTCCATTGGTACCCTCAATATTTTATTCAATACTTTTTTTTTATAACATTCTAGCAAAATAGCAGAGGTAGCACAATTGTCCGATTAGCTGGCAATGCCGAAATCTAGGTGACAAGAATGATAACGACAACTGCCAAGACGTATGTCGATCCCCCGATAATGACGGGCTCATTTAGTATGTCAAAGCCGTAGTGTTCCAATCTTCATTTGCATTTTTCAACTTTTCAAGCGGTGTGCAAGGAATTTCAAGGAAAATTTCTCTACGGATAGTCTTATAGGGTCTAGTAGAGTAATGTTATGTGGTTCGGAGTCCTGGACTCCGAACTGTGATACTGTGAACACCTTATGAAGATGCCAACCACTCGTGTTGGCGAAACGTCAAATATAAATATTTTACGACGGCCTAACTACCCAAAAACCGACCAAATAACATTGGATGATGGCTGCGAAAGTCTTTGGCATTTCATTCTAGTAGAGTACTTTTCAATACTTGCCTTGCCTAGCTGCCACGCCGTGGCCATGTTATCTTTACTCGGCCCGTAAGTTCCGGTCAACATCTTTATTTGCTTATTGGTGGTTTAATAAAGTTTATGTGTTTAATCTCATAGTAGTGTTTGTATTACTGTCATTATTAAAATACAGTGCCCACAGGCCTGACTACAAAACAATAGTTTTTAATGCTGTAAACATACATGTACAACAAAATTTAATTTTGGCCGGTTACCCACCTATGGTGCCTGGGTGTTCTTTACATTTCCCGTTCTGGTATTGTACTTCATTTTTGCTTTTATTTGACGTTGCTAATGTTTTTCTTGTAACATTTTGCTGGATTATTATAATTAGCATCTATTTTGTATCTTATCTGCCCAGATACGAGTACATAAATACCTATGTTTTGATATATAAGCATAAATTATGCTTTCAGAAAATATTTTTTGCAGTAATAACGATGTTTGCTTTATTGTAATTGATTCAGAATCCTTTGAATACTCGGTCTAATTGTACCTGGAAATAAATTATATATTACCGTTGCATATTTTAAGTTTCTACGGTCTCTAATATATCCTTGCTCTATCTCCTACATTTTGTAACGGCTGTATCTGTAAAAAAAGATTCTTCTAAAGTACCCTTTTTGTGCAATTACGACTACCCCTATAGGGGCCTACAGACACACGAACATGTATTAAGACATGAACGCACGTCGACGTTTGCGCGTTGATGTTCGCCAGTGTGTAGACAAATCTCTCGTTAAAAGACCGACGCACATGCTTTCTGTTTTCGCTTGAATTTATGCCTGCACAGACTTGTACGCGCGTGTATGTATGCCTGTGTGTAGACAAAACGTACTAATTTTCACAGACTTAATTCAGTGGCGCGACTGCATTCGTGTATTCTGTTGTTAGGAGCAGGGGGTCAACTTAGAAGTTCATTTAGTTTTGAATTTGTCAATATGGCAGATTTGAGAAGTTTTTCCAAAGAGTTTATAACAGAGTTCATAGAACTATACAAATCCTATCCATGTTTGTGGCGAGTAAAATCAAAAGACTATATGGATCGCAATAAAAAAAAACGAAGCATATAAAGTGTTGGTGCTGAAGCTCCAAGAAGTTGAGAAAAATGACAACAAAGAAATGGTTAAAACTAAAATTAATAGCCTCCGAGCTAGTTTTCGGAGAGAACTAAGAAAAATTAAAGAGTCGAGAAGATCGGGTGCTGCAGCAGATGATGTTTATATACCACATTTATGGTATTATGATCTACTTTTATTTATAAAGGATCAGGATATCCCTAGACAATCCATTAGTAATATTGAAGATGTGACAGTGAAATGGACAGTTGCCATTCAGAAATGGAAAATGAAGACGCTCTAGAACTGGAGGTAGGGCCTGATTTATTTATTTGACTTTTACTTCCCACGCCAACTGGAGAGGAAAAGAGGAAGTATTGTAATAATAATAATAATAATAATAATAATAATAAATTGCTTTTATTGCTCATGTAAGTACAGAAAAAGAAAAAGTACATAAATCTGATGCAGTGAGCAAACGGCAAGGTTCGCTTGATTGACAACCATTAGCTGTCAATCCGCGCTCTTCCACCTAACCAAATCGCGAATAATTTCGAAAATGAGGTATTATATTTTATGGATGGTATATAATATATAACACATATATATAAAAAACATGGATATGCTTGAACCGATAAAATCAATGCGTGGGAATTGCGGAGTCAACCTACTTGATGCCATTTTTTGATTTCATGTAAGAAATAATGAAGTAGTACACATATTAATATAGAGGGTAATAAAAAATCGTCTTGATATTTTGATTCGCTTTACTTCAACTTAAGTACTTAGAAGGTATAATACATAAATTAGCAAATCATTCTTTCCTGTCAAGCTACGGATCCCTCATTATTAAAGTAGTTCAGAAATAACTGTCTAACTTCTTGTGCATCCTTGTTTGCTCTTCTATTGTAACCCGGTTGCAAACTAGTCATCTGATTTGGTTGCAAGCCTAATTCAACAGTGCCATCTTCATGGTTCTCCCTGTATAAGTTGTTATCAGGTGCATACACAGTGGCAGTTCTTCTTCTCAGAAAATTATGCAGAACACAACATGCCATCACTACTTTGTCAATTGCTTTTAAGTTAATAGATATAGCTGTGTGGAATATTCTAAATCGAGCAGAGAGTATACCGAAAGCATTCTCTACTCTACATCCTTGCCCTTGAGAGACGATAATTGAAAATTTTCTTATCATGATCCCAGTCTCTCTGGCTAAATGGTTTCAAGAAATCACAGCGGAGTGCAAACGCTTCATCACCTATAAAAACAAATGGCAATGCTTCTTTACTGTTCATTGTTCTTGTTGGAGGTGGTATGGAGAGTTTCCGGTAAAACTGGTTGTACTCAATAACTCCTATAACTCCTCCATCAGATATGCGGCTGTTGATCCCGAAATCACACATAATGAACTCGTAATTTGCGTTGACCACTGCCAAGAGCACTAGGCTGTATGCTCCTTTATAGTTATAAAAATATGAACCACTTCCGGTGGGCGGTTTTATATTGACATGTTTTCCATCTACCGCCCCCAGGCAGTTCGGACAGTTGCATCTCTTTTCGAAGTCGTCTGCAATGTTTCTCCATTCATTCTCGGTCGTTGGGAATTGAAAAAAATCAAAAATATATATTTTTTTGCATAAAACTAGATATGATGTAAATGAAAGTCAAGAGAGTGAGCTGAGCTCAGTACCAAGTCCACCAATATCCAGAAAACATTGTACCGCTGCCTGCAGCTGGAAATCGGGGAAAAAAATAAACGCAAGACAAACTCTGATAACCAAGAAGCAGACAACGTGTTGGCGGCGGTAGGAGAAAGATTACGTTCCAAGAATGACGATCAATTCGCCATTTTTGGGAAAAATGTCGCAGCAAAATTGAAAGGACTCCCAAAAGAAACCAGATTATACACTGAGAAACTCATAAATGATCTGCTGTTTGAGGCTGAAATGGGTAACGTGTCCAGAAATACTAGGATTGTTTCGTCAGGAGACAATGAACAGAATCAAAACAATTTTTCCAGTAATAGCGTTGTTGATGCTTGCTACCCTAATCAATATAACTACAATTCAACTCAACCTATAAATATATCAGGCACACAAAATCAAGCTCAAACTTATTTGCTACCAGCTATGCCACTTAAGCCCCAGTGCCATCAAAGCCATCCTCAACAAATCAACGAGGGTAGCTCCACAGTTTCAACTTATTTTGGATCGTATAATCCTCTAAGTGAAGCTAACATTTAAGGTCCAGTTTATATTTACATATAAGAGTTCCATTAGATTAGCGTTGTATGTATAAAATAGAATACTTGAGAGTTTGTGTTTGTGTTTATTTTGTTTATTTTACTACTAAGTAATATACTCTGTACCCACCTTCATATAGTCTTTCTTCAGTACTTCATAAATAGCGCTGCATGTCTCTGGAATTATGTTGCACAATGACTGTGGAGAAATCAGGGTAGAAAATTTTAAATCTTCATAATTCCTCCCAGTGGCCAAATACCTCAATGTGGCCGACAGTCTTTCATGTACCGATATAGCGGGTCTCATCGGTGTGTTCTGTTTTTCAATAAGTGGCGAAACCATCTCTAGGAGTTTTATATAACTATCTTCATCCATCCGGAGGTAGTTTCGCCAATCATCAGGTTCTAATCGTAGCTCTTCAAGTAAATTGATGTGAGAATATTGGCTTCAAAAGCCAATCTTTAACCCATTTTCTTCGTGGCTGACGTCTCTTTTTCAATTGATGTTTTCTTTTTTTCACAATACAAACGCACGCCACTGCTAGTAAGTTTAACTCATCATCGCTAGACATGGCGACAAACTACAACATCGACGTGGAGAAAACTGACACACAAGTCTCTATGTGTGGAGCTAAAAGTAGATCGACGGGTATCACTGCGCAAACATCGCCGTGCGTTCATGTCTTAATACATGTTCGTGTGTCTGTAGGCCCCTTTAGTCTGCAAGTCTGCATCTCACCTCACAGAACACATAGCACTGATCTCACCGGTGTTGCCGGACCGAAAAAGATGAAATCTGAGTGCGTTGAAATTAAGTAGTTCAAGGACAAAATAGGTAGGATGGAAAAAATCAGTGCCGTTACAAGATCAGCGATAGATCAAGGGACTTTGCGTCACACAGCGCCCGCTATGAAAAAAATTACAATTTTGTATTGCGCGCACACATACACAACATATTTTTGAGGGCATCTGTTCTTTATTACAACTTGTACAATGTCGTTTAACAAACTCCTTTGCAACCACCGTTAATAATTCCTTTGCTATTATTGTCCATAAGATTCTGAATATTTTACTGTTTCATTTTTGAACTTGAAACCTTATCACCTGACATTTAATTTAACATTCAATTAAATACAGACGAGCTTTGGTTCCCTTTTTGCTGTCTGGTGACGTGGTAATGAATGTGATCCGCCAGTCTGTACTTGTACACAAAAATCAATATAGGGAGAGCGGAATAAGGGATGTGCGTACATAATTGTAAGCAATCAAAATCTATGTCCCTTGTGAGCCCGACTGCCCAAATGTTCGCTTATGCGCGAGTGGTATGGGACATAAAACTACGTAGACTACATAAGACTCACTATTTAGCTTTATTTTTGATTCCAGCTCTTTTTCGGCAAAAATCGAGATTATTTTGAAAAAATTGTGAATTCGGTTTTGGTCTCATTTCGGTAGAAATACAGAAAAAATCGGTAGGTCTGGCAACACTGGATCCCGCCTATCTTGTATGGTGAGACGGAAAAGCGACAGGAAGAAGATATTCTGTTAAAAATGTAAGACATCCGCCATTTTATAGTCTGTATACATGCTGGAGGCGACGTATAAATAAATACCAATTTTCTCTCGTCTGCATTAATTTGTATTTATATTATGTCGTAAGGAGAAAATGGCGGAGCAAATGCTTGTCGTTTCAGTGTCGACAGCTCTATTTGTCAGCTTTCATCTGGGTCATTGTATTCTGTGATATTACTGTTTCATGTACAGCGCCCCGTGACGACTTTAGTTGAAAATAATTCTTTTAAGTGACACAATGGCGGATCAGGTATGTTTTGCAAAATGTTTAAGTATTATATTTGGTTTCCTGTACCAATTTTCATGAATGCAGGCATTTTTATAATTCCTTGTTGATTTATCCACGTGGTAAATCAGTCGTGCATGCACTACTATAATTTTTATAATGTTTTTCAGTCTCGCACGTGGCGATGTGTGTTTCCTCTAGGTTAGCTTTTAAACATATCGAAAATTTAAAAATATGAAATGTTTTAGAACGAGAGGGCATTCCAGCGTCAGCCGACAGTCTTTCTGAATCGGAAAAAGGGCGCTGGCCCCAAAAGGCGTAAATCCTTACGTTACTACCGAGAAGTGGGGCTCGGCTTCAAAACCCCCAGAGAGGTAATTGCTTGCCACTTTATTAACCAGATTTTCTTTTAATCAGACAGAAAAAGCTTTCCAAAAACAACCAACGGTGTTCCTGAACAGGAAACAGGGCGCAAAAAAGAAGAATTTGAGGTTGCACCGCAATGTAGGGCTAGGGTTCAAAACGCCCAGAGAGGTTTGTTACTTTTCAGATTTCTAGGTGCTTCCCGGGAAGGTGGCAGGTGGCTTCAGTGATGCACTGATGGGATGGTTAAGGATGCTTGGGTCTAGATAACATTGCTAATTGGTTAACAAAATGAAATCAAAACAATGCTATTTAATCATGGTCCTGTTGCTTAATTTTTTATTATGTTCATATGTTTTTTGTAAAAAGAGCTTGGAAGCATTCTGGTGGAGTGTGCATTTTATTTGAATATCTGTCATCTTTATGTCATGTGCTGGGTATTTATGTCATATATGTGTGCTTTTTATATGAAATTCATAGTAAGAGTATTTTTTACATTCTAATGTTTTGGTTACATATACAGTACAGTGATTCCATGAAAATTTCCAGGTTGTGACTAAACTTATTGTTATTAGACATGTTCTGGCAACAGATTTTTCAGGATTGTGGATAGTTGGATATAGTTAACCCATATAGTTCGACATGTATATGCCTATTATTAGTAATGAACTTTATTTGAAAATTAATAGATTTGTCACATATTATTCTATATCTAAATTCTGTTTCTTTATACTCATTACAAATAAAATAATTCAAGCAATTAAAAATGTAGATTACTCATCTCATTATAGAAATTATATAGCAACATATTAATTTAGAATATTTCATCAATCATCTAACATATTTTTTAACATATTCTCTTAGGGTGTTGGATCTAATAATTTTTATACACATACAGATTACAGGAAAAAAATAGCAATGACAGAAGAAGCACATGATAATATACAGAAGGTGTTTTCTAAATATATATAAAAAAATCAGGGCTGTTTTCCTATGATAGTTCTAAAAATATTTTGTTGACCTAAAGAGAGCTGAACAGAATTAAACAGATGATTGAATACTTTCTGGAAGTGTTTTAAAACTGATTGCTGTTTTCCAATTTCTAGAATCTTCTGGTAAACCTCATTTCTTGTGTGTTTTACAATTCTTTTAAAGATGGCCATATATAATTTTGATGTGGCTCCTTCATGTATCATGTGGTTCTACATGGTCCACTTTTTTGTTCCACTAGCTAGTTACTAATATATATGGATTTTTCAAAGGTGTTAGAAGTATGAGCTTGGTAATTAGATAGTGAAAACAATTATTGTTAGCTCACACTAGGGGATTGCAGAGGAAATCATTCATTGGGATCCTCTGCCTGTCAGCTTATACCCAAAAAATCCCTCAATGCAAGCATTTGTTGTAGGTATTGTGTCAGTTTTCCATATTTTCAGAATAATCAACTAACTTAGTGAATCTTATGTTTAATTGAAGATTTTTATTTTGTTGTTCCATTTCTTCTATCCTAGTGTTGTACGTAAAAAAAAATATTATACTTTGGTGGTATAAAATTTCAGTAGATATGTTCTATAGACTAGACAATATGAGTGAAAACACTGAATTTTCTAAAAAAATAACCTTATCTGGACATTTGGTTCAACCTATATTTTTTATTACTTCAAACCACATTGCTATCTATTAGAATGGCGTCAAGTAGATTGACTCTGCAGTTCCCATGCAGCTGCCATCAGTGCATAACAGATTATGTTCGGTAGAAATTAGACCATATGCGAAAAAATTTAACTACAATCATGTATAACAGGGAATCAAGTCTGTTAAAAAGGACCATATAATTAGTCTGAACATTTTTCCATCTGGCGATGTGGTTCCTTCCACATACCTCACGACTCGATATGCCTCTTGATGCATTGGTGAGACTGACACTGGTAAATCGAGAGAGCAGAGAATCGTATCGTAGATATCTCGCTATCATTCCATGTTTAAATATACTAACAGCAAAACATTGCGACATACTTTCCAAAACTCCCATGAGCGGTCAGATCAATAGGCAGAGCGACGAAAATTAATTACGTGGTTTTTCGTGATGTATGTTTCATATAATATTAAAAAAACATTCAATTATCGAAATTATTTTTCGCGATCAGTTGCGTGGGAAATAAAAAACACCTGCCAAAAGCAACATAAAAATTAATAAAATAGGTGATTAGCGATAAAATGATTGAAAAATAGTAAATAAGCGACGAAAATACCTAAACGGCTTCAAGAAAAGGACACCAGTCTTTGCTAAATCCAGTGGTCAACTTTTTCCTATTAATCACGGATAAGTTTTAAACCCCCCGATTCATAGAAGCAAGGAGTGTCTAGAACTATTTGTTAGAATCTCTACGTGCTGAATCTGCCGTTAAATTTTTGTGACATTCTGTAAAGCCCTATATACAGGATGTTCTGTACTGAAAATAAAAAAGTTCTGAATTTAGTTCTTACGGGTGATTTATCTAAACACGCCAAATCATTAATATTACATTGAATTTGTTGAACTGACTGACTGTTAGCTAGGAGTAACGGGAAACTAGACCCACGGTTAAGAGATCCACGGCCGGACTCCGGATTTTTTCACTTTTTTATTGTCAAAATCAACACCTTTTCGGCTTAATATTGAAATGTTTGAAACTTCCGTCTAGTTTTACGGTAGTCTTGGGTAACTATTGTGCAAAATTTCATTAAAAGCGGGTCTGTGATGAATTAAAGGTTTGACGTGGTTGGATATATCATCCGTAAAAACTGGATTTAGAACTTTTTAATTTTCAGATATGAAAGGGACTCAGTTCAACCTACCTACGATTTCACTATGTCCATTTAAGTATGGAACACCCTGTATAGCTGGTATGTGATAACCTGCAGAATCAAGTGTTTATACTAAACTATGCCAAAAATGCAACAATTTTTTATGGATATTTCTGTACAGGCCATAGAGGGTTCATACATTGACAAGAAATGCCCTTTCACTGGTAACGTTTCAATCAGAGGTCGTATCCTAACCGGCGTTGTACAGAAGATGAAGATGCAACGTACCATCGTCATCCGACGCGACTACTTGCATTATATCAGGAAATATAATCGGTTTGAGAAGAGACATAGGAATATGTCAGTACATTTATCACCTTGCTTCAGGTTAGTATATTATAGGCAGAATCTATTTTTCTTCTAAGCTGTCAGAATCATAAAATACAGGAAATAATTAGATTGAATCAGTACTTTCCACTCGTTGATATAAAGCCATTGACTTCAAATATGTTTAATTGTTTTTCTCTTGATATTTTTTTTATCGCTAATAACGCCTAATAAATTACCATTGAAGACTGCAATGCCTTATTGAGAAGTAGCATTTATCTTCCTAGGCAATTAGGGAAAGCAAAAAACATCTAGATAAATACTGTCATTCCAAACTATATTTTGTCAATTTTATTGTGTCAGTTTGCCAACTGAACTTTTTATTTTAGAATGATTGAGAAATAAGTAATTTTGAGTATAGCTTCATCCTCCATTTGAATATCTCAATAATTGACATACGTTTTGAAAACAGCTTTTAATGTTATAACAAAAAGATGACAGTTTTACCTTAGGGACATATACTAAGTGACATATAAATCCGAACACCCAGTTTAAATGGTTTTATTTTAATAAAAGTTGGTGAATGTATTTATCTTACTGTAAATAACAAGTGAAAAAATTTTCAGCCTTATCAGTTGGACATTCCGGTTTTTATACTGCTTTTTTTTAATTCACTAACGCTCTAAAAATGAATACTTCAGCCGCAGTAAAGAATCAACGTTGGCGGATTTTGGTTCTTGACATCCTTTACGATCGGTTACGATGCCTAGAGTACGGAGACCTGTACGATTTCGTCAACTTAGTGAGTTTGATAGGGGCCGTATAGTGGGACTTCGGGAAGCTGGACTTTCTTTTCGGGCAATTGCAGTTAGAGTGCAAAGAAGTGTAGACACTGTGATTAGGTGTTGTCAGGCATGGCTTCGAGAAGGCCGTACGCAAAGAGCAAGGGGCACTGGACGCCGCCGTAGAACAACAGACCGTGAAGATCGCCGCCTAAGATTATTGGCCTTAAGGGACCGTTTCTCCACTACCAGGTCCATTGCAAATGAATGGTTTGCAGAACACGGAAGACCTATTGGCATGCGAAGTGTTTACCGACGAATGAGAAGTTTTGGCTTGTTTTCATACCGGCCACACTGGGTCCTCCCTTTAACTCGAGAACACCGACGTAATCGCCTTGAGTGGTGCAGACAACGGTCACTCTGGGATCAGGAATGGAACAGTATTGTCTTTAGTGACGAGTCTCGATTTTGTTTAGGCATGCACGATGGTCGTGCCAGGGTTAGAAGGCGACGCGGTGAAAGGAGGAATCCACAGATTTTTGTTGAAAGACATGTTCATCACACTGTTGGAGTTATGGTTTGGGGTGCTATAGCTTATGGTTCCAGGTCACCTTTAATCTTCATCAGAGGTAACATGAACGCGCAGCGTTATATCCACGAAGTTCTAGAACCCCATCTTTTACCCTATCTTGACACCCTGGCAGATCCAACTTTCCAACAAGATAATGCCCGACCACATGTTGCAAGAGTCACAATAGACTTCTTTCAACATAATGATGTCACATTGTTACCATGGCCACCAAGATCTCCCGACTTATCCCCAATTGAGCACGTGTGGGATATGATGGGTAGGAGATTGCTCAATTTGCAACGTCCTCCTCAGACTCTAGAAGCACTTCGAGAGGAGTTGGTGGTTGCCTGGAATGAGATACCACAGGAGGACATTGACCACCTGATCAGAAGCATGCCTAGGCGCGTTGGAGAATGCGTAGCACATCAGGGTGCATCCACACATTATTAAAGGTCAAAGGGCTTTAAAGCAGTGCAATCATTTTGGAATTTTTATCATTTACTTATTATGCTTCATTAAGTACTTATACAAAATTTTATTAAAATAAAACCATTTAAACTGGGTGTTCGGATTTATATGTCACTTAGTATATTATCAGTCGGTTCCTACAATAATTGTAGGACGCCTTTATGGCCTCCTTGATTTACAAAGTCTTTTCTCTCCTTCAGAAAGGCTGGGGTATTTCTAAATTTCTACTGTTCGTTTCCTTTTTGTATCGTCAGAAATTTCAGGCTGATATAACAGATGATCTAAATCAAAAGCATGAACAATTTGATTCGAATATATATTTGTATCATAACCTTAAAATAGAGCGCTTTGGAACAGTAGAAACCTTTGAAAATCAAGGAGCTCATAAAGGCGTCCTACAATTATTTATTGTAGGAACGACTGGTGATACAACCCTAGGTGCCCAGAAAAGTGCTATCGAATAAACTTTGCAATAAAGTATATATTTTCTGTGAAAATAATAGTCCTATTTTCTGATTCTCAATATATATATGGTTTGTTAAACTTGACGTTTATGTATCATTTAATCATATGTATTCCGGCCCTGTATCAGATTGCATAGGTGGCTAGATGCAAACTGGTTAACTCAGATACACATGAGTAACTGTTTTTGGCCAAACTAATGAAAATAACTATAATAAACCATATATATTTTGATTTGGATAAATATGAATAAATCATTTTACCTGATCATATACAGGGTGTTTCCATTTAAAAAATGCAACTTTACTCTAAAGCACTTTTCTGTGATACCCGGTGTACAAACAAAATGTACTTTGAAAAACCCTATAACTTTAATGTTCAACTTTCTCTTCTGGAAGGTTATATTAAATGCTGGAGTGGCAGTTTATATCTGGACACTCTGTATATGCATCCCAGGATATTTTATCTAGCTTAATTGTGGTCATAATACCCGGGTAGCTATTTTTGCCACATCGGCAAAAATACGAGGTAACAAAGTGAACATTCGGAAGGAGCACGTCGAAATTTATAAGAGCACATCATCTTTTTAAAGAATGTTAAAAAACTTTACGAGTAATACTAGCAAATGATTTGAATAAAATGAAAATTAAAAACTTCATTCAATATGATGATACATGCTTTCACCGGCGGTATGAGAGATTTATAAAAATCGCTCATGATTATTTCAAATATTAAATCTGACAATTAAAAATATCCAACCATTGATGACATATGTTATTCACAGAGGGATATAAAAGGTGTTTTTCTTCCAGGGATGTTGAAATTGGAGATGTTGTGACCATTGGAGAATGCAGGCCATTATCAAAGACAGTGAGGTTCAACGTCTTAAAGGTCACCAAGGGAAGTAGTTCAAAGAAGAGTTTCAAGAAGTTTTAAGTATGTCTATAAAAATAAATTTTTTCTAAGTTGATACAATGTTTCTTTGAATCACTCCTCAACCAATAGCTACAGATAAAACCCTGGTATTTTGAACAGCACTTATTCTAACTTACCTGCATTTTTCTGTTCTGAACTACGAAAAAAAAAAATAGTTACCTTACATTTAGTAAACCCTGATCCATTTCTTTTTTTATTTTTTAAAGCTTACCATAAAATGCTCATTTTTGTTAATCATTTTGGATTTTCAGCAATATAGAGCCACTAGCATATTTATCATCTCCCAATAAAAAAACACATTTTTCTAGAGGAAATGGCATTTTTGCATCTACAATTTTTTCGTCTTACAAATTTAATTATACATTTATTTGATGCCTCACTTTAAAATACATTGTGCTACTTGAGCTTTTTGTGTACCCCTGTTACTTCTCAGAGAAAATGTAATGAAGCATTTTTCCGTAAAACGGATTTTTAAGCAAGTTTCGTATAGAAAATTAAGCAAGGTACACATAAAATGTAACCCGAGTGGCTTACGGAAAGATGGAAATTGCATGAAAAAAAGAGTTTTGAGTCCTGCAGGAACACTGGCTGTAACAGGGTAAGTACTTCACGGTGTCCACAGACTCATTTTTACTCATACCTGATGCTTATTCATATTTTCCAGAAATGTTCATTTTTGTCATTATTTTGGGATGTTTTACCATTACAATGCAGTGATATTCCTCTTGTTCATAACTTTTCAATTTCCAGCAATGGAGCATTTTCATTCATATCAATGAGATGACCAGAGAATAGCTTCAATTTTTAATGTTGTATTTTTTACTCGTTCTTTCAATACATTAATTTTTATCATTTTTACTTTCCACGCCTATTGGCGAAGAAGTATTGTAATCGCAAGGTTTTGTTTTTTGAATGTCGCATGCACATCACGAAAAACCGTCATCCATTTTCGTCGTCGTGTGTGTTTGTCTGTCTGGCGGTCGGCCTGTTCGCTAATCTTTGTACCACCTATAACTTGGAAAGTTCTGCCCAGCAGCGTTGTCAGATGGTCAATACTTGAGGCAAGGAAGAAACTTATGTTAGAGTTGTCAAATGGATGGGGACTATGGAGTATGTACTAATAATACAGGGTGATCCTTGATGATATGCTAATATTTAAGGGTGTGAATCTACATGAAAAATTAATGTTATGTGCTTTATAAACTATGGTCCAAAAATGTTTCCTTACAAAATCTCGGGGTGTTGAAGTTTTAGGAAAAAAAATTAATATCAGAACCGCTTCAGATATTTCACTGATATTTAGTACGTAGTGAAAGTTAATAAAGTTGCATATTTTTCAATGAAAAAATAACTTTGAGCTTGGTACGCCAATGGTTTTTTGCCAAATATTTTTGAATTCCCGGTTCAATTTAAAACAAACGATCTCTCTTGAATTGTTTTCCTTCGATGCGCCATTTTTGAGTAAAAAAATAAAAACCGTTCTATTATCCGAGAAAATTAATGTAATAATAGAAGAATGCAAGTTAGCAATAAATATCTACTTGCTCTGGAATATGTAACTGGCTTTTGACATCTGACAAGTCTCTGTTATTCAAATCTGTTCGCTGTGACATCTTTTTCATTATTTAGTTTTTACAATAATGGTGAATTATTCAAATGCAGTAATGGCGGAAATGCATTACGTATATGGCCTTGCCGACGGTATTGGTGAGCAAGCAAGACGGATTCATCACCAGAGATATCCCGATCGTGCTTTGCCAGATAGTCGAACCTTTTCTAGTATTCATCGTCGTCTTGATGAAACCAACCGGTTCTGTCCGAAAAGGAACATCTGAAGGTAGACCTCTAAGTGGGAGAACACCTGAAATTGAGGAAGCAGTGCTGCACGAAGTCGAAGAACATCCTGAAACGAGTACGAGGAATATCGCTAGACACTTCAATATTTGCCAACAAATTGTTTGGAGAATTTTAGTGGATTTTTTGTTGTACCCTTACCATATTTTAAGAATACAGGCATTACTTCCCATTGATTTTACAAGGCGTGTGACCTTTTGTGGTATGTTCAAAAAATTACACAAAATCCGCAATTTGAATCAATGATTCTGTTCACGGACGAAGCTAATTTTTCTCGAAATGCCATTCAGAATTTTCACAATAATCATTTGTGGGCAGAAAAAAACCCTATGCCGTAACCGAAACCCTTTTCCAATACCAATTTTCGGTTAACGTATGGGCAGAATTATTGGCAACCACTTTATTGACCCATTCTTCTTGCCGGACGACCTGACGGACAGACTTACCTCAATTTTCTTCAACAGTTGCCTTTGCTGCTTGATGATGTTCCGTTAGTAATAAGAAACAATATGTGGTATATGGATGATGGTGCACCAGCGCATTTCAGTATAGAGGTTAATTATTTACAAACTCTTTATCCAAATCGTTGGATTAGCCGCAAGAATGGCCACCAAGGTCCCCAGATCTCAACAGTTTAGATTTCTTTTTGTGGTGCTGTCTCAAGACACTATTGTACACAAGTCCCATTAACTCTGTAGAGGAATTAAGAGAAAGAATAGTTGCAGCTTGTGATATAATAAAAAACACTCCAGGGTTATTTCAACGAGTGCGCAATTCCATGAGCAGGGCAGAAGCATGCATACTAAGTGAAGAGGACCATTTTCAACAATTTTTGTAATCATTTCGTTGGTTTTAAAACATTAATGTTATGTTTATGTTGTCAGTTGTTGTTCATTACCCCTAATGTGTTTAATTTTTCCAATTAAATTAATAATTTTGCAAGTTAGACAATAGAACGGTTTTTATTTTTCTACTCAAAAATGGTGCATCGAAGAAAAACAAATCAAGAGAGATCATTTGTTTTAAATTGAACGGGGAATCCAAAAATAATTTTTATTTGGCAAAAAACCGCACGTCACTGTTGAAGCTAAAAATTATTTTTGCATTGAAAAATATGCAACTTTATTAACTTTCCCTACGTACTAAATATCAGTGAAATATCTGAAGCGTTTCTGAAAATATTAATAAATTTCCATTTTTTTTCCTAAAACTTCAACACCCCCAGTTTTTGTAAGGAAACATTTTTGGACCATATTTTATAAAGCAAACTAACATTAATTTTTCATGTAGATTTACACCCTTAAATATTCGCATATCATTAAGGAACACCCTGTATATAGGACTGTTTAATAATAATAATTTATTGGTGTTGATATACTACGATGCTTACACAGGCGAGACTTCCTACCCTACCACAGTAGAGCCGAACGTGTATCAAATATGGGGTCTCGAAAAAGTGAGAAAGGGCATTACGTTTGATGATTCATGTGTGAAAGTGTAACTGTACGAAACAATTAAACATCACAAAAGTGCGGACATTAATTACGTGATTGATGAGATAGCCCATCATTGTGGTGTCACTGTGCTGCGTTTTCCGCACTACCATTGTGAACTGAACCCAATAGAGCTCATCTGGGCTCAAGTGAAGGGTTTATTGCGCGCCATGACACAACTTTTAAATTACTAGACGTCAAGGCTTTGCTAGAGAATTCCACACAACTAGTATACATCTGAATAGTAGCAGGATGGTGTCCGTCATGTTGTGAAGGAAGAAACAAAAATGTGGCAGCTTGACCACAACATCGACACCATCATGACGCCAGTTATAGTCAGCCTTGGCGAAGAAAGCGATAGCGACAGCTTATAACCTTCAGATGGGAGTGGAAGCGATGACGAATGAAGAGAGGTAGACTCAATTAGCTCATGGATAATCAGAAAAAAAAACTGACAAAGGTAATCTACAAATTTCTGATCTATAACGTCTTTCAAACCATTTCCTTTTTTATTAAACAACAAGAAATCAGGTTCACCCACATTAAAAACTCATAACCCGACTACCGATGGCTTAGAGATGTTCACGTGAACATCGATGAGTCATTACAGTTTTAGATAGTTATGGTATAGCTCAAACGGAGTAACTTGGATCGAACTTTATGAACTGATGACAAAGTTGTATGGGAAGTGCAGAGTAAACCTACTTGACGGCATTTTTTGAAGTATTCGGCCTGAGGATCCCCCTGAGGTACCTGGAAGGATGGAGGTGGTGGTGCGCTAAGGAAGTCAATGTTCTTGTTTAGCAGCATAATTATCTAAAAAAAATGGCATCAAGTAGGTTGACTCTATACTTTCCTTGCAACGCTGCCATCTTAGCTCTGCCGCTCATGCATTACGGTTGGCACACATCCCACATTCTGGAAATCTGAAAACTGTAGAAATTATTAAATTCTATGCCCGCCAATCAAAACAAAAATTAAGTGTATTTGTTTACACTGTGACTCAAATTCACTCTTATTGTTGTCATCTTGGCAACCTGAAAAGGTATAAGGAGTGGATTGGATTGGAGGAAGGAAAAGCGACAACAGACTAACAGCACCGTTCACGAAAACTACAATAACAATATGTCAATTTGATTCGTGTTTACTTGTCCCACATTTTGCTAAAAATTCCTAATGTAGTATGACCACAAATAGTACGTGTATACTAAGTTCCACGTAGAATTGTCTATACTGGCACATGCTTAATTGAAATGCTTCGAAAATTTACTTGCCATTCCAAATTCCCTTAAGCCCATATACAGATCATCTTTCTAACTAAGAGACATGCTTTTTAAGCATTTCTAGTAAGTACAAACTATTTTCAGTTGCTCGTGATATCACGAAAGCGTTCGATCAGCTGTGGCACGCTGCCCCCTTATGCAAACTTCCATCGTATGGCTTTGCAGATGAGTGTCTGACTTTCTCTCTGGCCGCAAGATATCCGTCGTGATTGACGGGTTCTCCTCTTCATCCCACGACGTCAACGCGGGTGTTCCCCAGAGATCGGTCTTGGATCCGACACTGTTCCTTTTACATATCAACGACCTCCTTTCCTCCACGATCAATCCAATCCACATCAGCTTCGCTGATGACAGCACTCTACACGCAGGAATTCAGAGTGACAAGCCGATCTCTGCCGCTGAGCTGGAAAAAAGAAGACTGGCGACGACCTCCTCTCTGATGAGAAACCTGGAGGTCATTGCTGCTTGG